GAAGTAAAAGGTCCAAAATTCGAATTGGTGAGCGATGATACATGTAGCCAGTCGATCGAATTCTTAAACGTGTCGTTTCTTCGTCAACAAATGAAATTAATATTTGAATAGTGAGAGTATTAGAATTTTAATTAAAAAGAAATATGAAAGCAGATTCTTTGATTCGGTAATTATAATTCTCTGAATTGCAATTATTAGCCTTTAAGCCTCTTCTCTATTTTCTACAGCGATAAATGTTGATCAAATATTTAATTTTTGTTTATTTTCTCAAGTTAATGAATCATATTTTGATCTTGATTTTCGTTATAAAATCAGAAGATTTATTATAAAAACATTTTGAGTGCGATAACATACTTTCATTTAAAAGAAGAGATGAACAGATTGAAAAGAGACAAATTTGTGTGAAGTGCATGATTATCATTTGTAAATACTCACCTTGGCGAATCAGAATCTTCTCCGCCATCGAAAGCAAGCTAACCTGCAGATTCTTCCTCTTCGAAGCTGGTCGAATGAAAGCCTTCGCAGTGCTGCAACGCAGACCATCCCTTAAAGTACCGAATGTGCGCATAAATCCAATTTGTTTGGCCCCGTTCACGTCCAGAATTTCATATCCCATTTGCGTGGTCGCGTTCAGCAAGTAGTCGGTCACAGGTGAAGTGTACCTGAACTCTTCCACGGTCAAGGGTCCACCGGTTTGATGGTAGGATGATCCTTTTAATTTATCGATCCTCATGTCTTCAGACTTCTTGAAGTAAGGCAACACGCTTTCGTAGTTCCATCCCGGATTACCAAAGCTCTCCCACTCGTCGTAATCTTTCTTGTTACCACGAACGTACATCATCGCGTTTAGTACAGTGGATCCTCCAAGGACCTTGCGATAATAATAAAAATTGTTCGGAACTTGTGTGATACACAATCGAAAACGTTTATTTGAAGATTAAGGAGATACTCTTTTTCTGACTTGCCCTCAGGAGCTATAGCTGTATTTGTTTGCATCTACAGATATTTTAAACAATTGTCTGTAATGGAGAAGATATTCTAATGCTTCATAGCAAAATTGCAAACACTTTCCACATCGACAATATTACAGAGAATTGCTTAAAATATTTCGCAAACTAATCATTTATTTTTTATAATCATTTATACTATAGTAGAACATAAAAATTTAATTATTTTCATATCCTTCAACCTAAACCTAACCCAGTAAATATATTGTGTAAATAAACGATGGAAATTTCAAAAGTTTATGTCATGTACTTCGACTGCAAACAAATCATGAAAATTGCCTCGAAAGTGGTCATAATGAAAGAGTGCCCCTGAATATTTGCCAAAGGTTTTGTATTGACGTAGAAGGTTCTACTATACCTTGCCACGTGGCCAACTACACTGCCTATTCTTGAACGATAAACACGACGTGTTCGATGCCGCTGTTTTAAATTGCCAATCAATGGGTGAGTTCTGTAAGAGCGTAAGGTCGTATGGCACGTCGCCTATTTGCGGTTCATCGGGGCCAGCCTCCACCAGAAGCACCGTCACGTTACTGTTTTCTGATAAACGATTGGCCAGTACCGCTCCGGCTGCGCCACCACCGATTATGATGAAGTCATAGCTACTGTTTATATTGTTTGGCGACACTGGGACAACTCTGTTTTCAACATCGGCAATATCAGGTCTAAATAGAGGGATAAGCACGTTATTCAAAAGCCCTAAGCAGATGAACGCCGGAACAGTAATCATCCCTATGCGCAATACAGACAGCATCTGACTAGCCTCCATTATTTCCAATGTTTAGCGAATCACTGTAAACAGCCAAGACTATAATTTAGATTTTATTCGCCAGTTGTACATTTGCTGTGGTTGCTGTGGTGTCGCGAAAAACAATATTCGTTATTTTAATAATTGAAGAATGTAAATGAAAAACGTTCCACTATATTGTTTAGCGTTAGTGTTTGTATAGTGTTCCTTTTTTAATTTTTCATTTAATTTATACATACAATTCTTCACACACTTGTGACTCAAAGTAATCAAATATATCGTGGTCGTTGAAGTTTCTTCGCAGTTCAAAGAAAATGTGTTAAAATTTTAAATTGATAAAGAAATTAATTGATGAGTGACGTTCCATACACCTAATCGATAATAAAGGTTACAATCTATTTATCCTGCAACATTGAATTCTTGTATTGAACGTGTCGTTTCTTCGATAAATAATATTAATATTTCCATGGTCAAGGTATTAAAGTTATAATTAAAAAGAAATAAAAAAGTAAGTTCACCGAATTTAGGATAATTTCAGAGTAGCTATACGCTATTTTACCTGTCGACGATTTAACAATTTCCGTTTAGGTCGCTCAGTGGGTTTTATATATTGTTTGTGCTATAAGATATACATTACTTGTTCGGTTTAACTAAAAATATGCCAGTCACTCATTACAATTGCTACGACGAATACAAATTTAAATATTATCTACAGTTACCTGCAATTTAAAAATTGATTTTATCCTCCTTTTTGCACAGTTGATTTACCTGCAAAACTGTGTCGCTACCGAGAAAAGGAAATAATCGAAAAGAGTTTGATCTGGATTGGGTGAATTGCAATTTATATTACGTTTATAATTTTATTTCTAAATATAACGGAAAAACGCCAAAACTTGCATTCTTGAAGGAACAATGATAACTTATGCAAATTAAAGGAATACTTTCTGTAAACCAAGGTCATTCGTTTCTAGATAAATGTGAAAAATAGAGAGTTATATACTGAAGCAGAGGAAAAATAACAATCTTACCTTAAACTCGAGATCGACAAGTTAGTAGCAAAGAAACAATGTGACTGTCATCCAGAGATGTAGCAGTATCAATAATTGCAACAGCCTGAAGAATAGAAACGATAGTTTCTTTTATATTATTCAAAGGAGGTGTTTGAAAACGCCCATTTTCGAAAATAGAAGCGCGAGTTGAAAAACTCTTTCTACGAACAACAGAACTAAATGACATTGAACGACTGCGTAAGACGGAACGCATAAATATTGAGATATTTACGTCACATGGTGATAATTATAGTTGAAATTTATCTAAAGACCTCTACATTATTATACAACTTGATTGTATGTATGCTTTTACTGCAGAAAAATGTGTCATAAGTAATCAATAATTACATAACGTTAAATTGAATAAATTTTTATTTCTCTGAAAATTTATCTACACAACATGTATTCACCAAAAAGGGCATACAAAAATTACACAACATTATCTTATTGTAAAACAATTTTTTATACTTGCAAAAACTCCAACAATTCTTATACCAAGAAACCATTCGCATTATTATTCATCATCATATTTTTACAGTTCTTTTGTCCTTAACGATATCGGTTCCGTCATTATTTACACCTTTACAGTAGTTGTTAATAACACGCGATGTACGTTTTACGTTCGAATTCTTAACGAAAAAATTAATCATTCACATTCAAATTTACAATACCCCGTAGTCTTCCTTAATCATGTCAACGCCCTTTTCAGCGATCATTATCGTCGCTGCTTGTGTGTTTCCAGAAGTGACTCTCGGCATGATCGAAGCATCGATCACACGTAGTCCACTAACTCCATGCACCTTCAGTCTGGGGTCGACCACAGCCATGGAATCGTTCGCGGGACCCATTTTGCACGTTCCGCATACGTGATAAATTGTCCTTGTGAAATATCTGGAGAGGCATTTCAGATAGTCGTCAGACATCATCTCAAATCCAGCGCAAGCATTGATAGGGTTGTGATGTGCTCGAGCGTTCAATTTCTTCATCGTTGGGGTCTCGCTCAGTTTGTGTGCAATTTTCGCTCCTTCGATCTGTTAATTTAGAAATTCATCACATTAACACTAAACCTACTACGACCGGTCGAATGATCGTTTCCAAATTTTTCTATACAATTCTTATAAGCTATATACGAATTATACGAGTTTGCATTTTTGCTATCGGTGAATAAAAATCTTCTAAAATTTCCTTTTGTTGAAACCCTCTTACGACCGATCGAACTTGGAAATTATTCAAAAATTCATGGATCTTAGCACGTTCTTAAACATTAGGAGTCCTATATTTGTTGGAGCATATATTTCTTACGAGTGCTATGTTCTCTTACCAGAACTTCGATATCATTCGGATCCTGGAAAAAGTTGGAAACGATGACCGGATGGTCATTGACATCCGTTGTGCGCAACTTGATGTATCCTTTGCTTTTAGGCCTCAAATTGAGCGGGGTGATCGAGTACGAATGTTGCTTCAGGATATCCTCGCACCACTTCGCGTGGTATTCGTCTTCGATTTGCATAATTGCATTGAGACAACCGTGAACGACGCTGGCATCCGAGGAAATCAGAAACTGAATGTCGGGGTAATCGTCAGCGGGGTCTGCGTATCTGAAAACAGTTTGTTTCACTAAATGTGTGTATAATACGATGCCTTTGGATTTAGAAAATACAGCAGGCGTGACGGGATATTAATGACAGAAGTTTCGGGTTAGGTTGGAATCGCAGTTTTACGAGTAAAAGATACGTGGTAGCGCCAGCACCAGTATACACGTTGGCGTGTAATTTTTTATGTACTTGGCGCCGAGACGCTATCGCGTCTCTAGATATAATCATGTGTCTAATTAAAAGAGAAAAAGTAAAAGTATACTTCTCCATTTTTATCGTGCTAAAAAATTCGCAAAATATGTTATAATGCGAGAAGCTTACTTGGTGTTGACAAAAGCGGTAGCTTCGGTGAAGTATGCCGCGTAGAAGGGTCCAGTGTGGTCTACAGCGAACTCCACAGCAGCTTGCGGAGTAACAGTATCTGGCAGAATGTATGTGAAAGGATAGTCACCCTTGTAGTCCGCTGGTGGATCCACCAAGTAGGTCAAACCACCCACACCCACGTGGTCCTGAAGATTCTGGCCCACGCCGGGTGCGTCTACCACCACGGAGACTCCTACTTCTTCCAAATGTTCCTTGGGACCGATACCAGACAGCATCAACAGTTGCGGCGATTGTAGCGAACCAGCTGATAGGATAACTTCGCGATTAGCTTTCACCTCCTTTAGCGCTCCATCCACACGGAATTGCACTCCGTATGCAACTTTCTTCTCCCCTTCTGTGAATCAAGAAAGGCAATCGTTCAGTTTGGGGGCAAGTTTGGATACTTTCGTTCCAGTTAATTGTCTTTTATGCAGTTTTGTTTAATTTTGACTAGTGTTGTTCAATTTTAGTGGTTTCTTTTGTGTTTCGTTCAGTTTTATCAAGTTTTATTGAGTTTTATCGAGGCTCCTTGTGGTTCCTTTAATTTTGTTCATTTCTGGACAGCTTTGTCCCATTTAGTTTAGTTTCGTTCAATTTTACTGAATCATTCATTGCCTCCTTACTGATTTTTTTCGCCATTTTGAAAACTTGATACAAATTTTTTGCCATGATATTCTCATTCTGAAAGGTTTAAACTAATATCCTGAATTTTTATGAGTCGTTCGGAACGATACTGGCAACGCGGAAGTCGTTTAAACATGGCTGGGGTCATTGGGACCCCCTGTGATCGGCGCGTTATTTCCAGAATTTGTGACCTTTGAGGGTCAAAGGGCTAATAATACTCGCCTGTACGAATTAAAATCTTCTCCACCATTGATAGTACACCGACATGCAGATTCTCCCTCTTGGAAGCTGGGCGAAGGAAACCCTTGGCAGTACTGCAACGCAGCCCGTCTCTCAGAAAGCTGTGCGATATCATAAATCCACTTTGTTTTCCAGCGTTCGCATCCAGTATTTCGTATCCCATCTCGGTACCAGCGTTCACCAAGTGATTAGTTATAGGTGTACGGTATCTGTAATGTTCGATGCTCAGTCCTCCGCCAGTGCTGTGATAGGAGGATCCTTTGAATTCGTCGATCCTCATGTCTTCAGATTTCTTGAAGTATTTGAAAATGCTGTCGTGTTCCCATCCTGGATTGCCCTGCGCCGCCCAGTAGTCGTAATCTTTCTTGTTTCCACGGCTGTACATCATACCGTTTAGAATAGTAGTTCCCCCGAGTGCCTGTAACATTTCAATGAGAATTTAATTTTGACAAGGAATTTGTTTGAAAAACAACTTTAATACAAGTTACAAATTCAAGTACTCACTTCATAATTTATAATTGATTGAAGAATGTTTTTTGGGTAGGATTAAATATCATTTTATTTGATATAAGGTTTTTCCTATTGTTTATGTTTCTAATGCAATCGAGTCAGTTCATCTTTTACTGTGTATTCATTTTATATACATTAATTATGGAAATGGGGGTTTATTATTGTGGCTTGTAGGATTCCTCGACATTAGAAATACCAAACCACTCAGTGTGTTCTTGGTTTCTTTTTGAAATTATTCCCTTGACCCAACCCACTTTAATTTTAAGTATATTTTAGTATTTAGTAGAACTATCAAACCTATCATTTTGATTTTCGTATTTATAAAATCACTTACTCGATCAACAGTGATTTTTAATAAATATTGATGAATTATCCCCTTGGCCCAACTCACTTAAATTTCAAATATATTCCAGTATTTCGTAGAGATATGCATTAGTAGTTTCGATGTTGAGAATTTGATCCAGAATTAAACATCATTTTATTTAATAAAATTTTCTTGAAATTTCTGTTTCTAATAGCTAAGTTGGAATAGCATAACGAGCAGTTCGACTTTACTATCGAGTGTTAAAAAGACCCCCAAGGGTTCCAAATCCCAAGGAAAGTTGACAAATTTAGATTGAAATTTAACCGACTAAAATTTCAAAATCCTCAAAAATAACAAGAATTTGACGTCCCTAATCCATCACAAACCCATTTCATCGAGATTCAGTTTGAATTCCAACCAGATAACAAAGATTCTACTGTACCTTGCCTCTTGGCCACGTGCACTGGTGGTTCTTCATGGCTAGACACGACGCGTTCGAGGGTTCCGGTTTGAATTGCCAATCCAACGGTGTTCCCTGCAGAAAGTTGTACGCGAAAGGCACATCGCATATTTCTGGTTCGTCGGGACCAGCTTCCAACAGAAGCACCGACCACTTGTCGATTTCCGATAAACGATTAGCCACTACCGCGCCAGCTCCGCCACCCCCGACTACTATGAAATCGTAATCGGTTTTCATCTCTCCGGCACTTATTGGCTTGATTCTGTTCTCACGATCGCTGATGTCGGGCCTGAGTACACTGATGAGCGAGTTCATAATCGCTACGGAAACCAGTACTGGCGCCAAGATCGTCGCTACATGGGTCCCAGAGAGTAATGGAATAATCGCCATGGTTTCCAACGATTGAGTTACCACTGTGACAATTCGAAATCGCAATCTGTACCTTATTGTATTGCAGGGCGTTGGAAAACAGAGTTTGTTAATATTTTCTTATTTGGGTACGAGTCAGATATGACGAAAGAAAATACATACGCGCTCCTCACGAACGCGGTTTTAAACATTTTATTCATTTGAATTAAGAAGAAAGGCATTTGTCAATGTGCCACACGGTGTCTTAATGTATAAATCATAACATAAATTCAAGCACGATGATCTATGGTCTTTCTGCCATTGTTCTGGAAGCAAGCATTCTTCTACATGTTTTATGTTGTTAACATTGTCGAATCACCACTTGTAACAATACTACGTCACTGTCGTCAATTGAGTATCGAAACCATACACAGGGTGTTTCATCATTTTATTTATAGAGTTATAGTTTTCTTTCGTACGATGACTTTGACAAAAGCACCAAAATACACGTTTTTCAACGAACAGTGAAAGCCTATACAAACGGTATATTTTCTTAATTAACGCAAACAGAATCTTCCAAAAAAATATATCGACACGCAAAACGAATACAATAATAACAAGAATAACAGGAAAAATGGTTCGCTTGCACGTCGAGTGCTGAAACGATCATTGCGCTCATCTCTGAGTGTAAAGCAACAAATTAAAACAATTAAAGCGTGCATCCTTTATGCTTAACCAAGGTTGCTTTTGCATCTTTAAAATATCTGCACGACGAGTCCCTTACGTTAAAGGTATCGTAATTGTATGCATTAATGGCGGAGCAATTAATTTTACCTTACCTCAGAACCAGAGACAATAGACTCTCACCTTAAGATGGAAGTTGACAACGTAGAGATCATCCGCCTCTTATCCGCTGTTGTAGAATTGTCAACACTTGTAACGGGGTCTAAGATTAAAATAAAAAATTACTCCTTCGAAATGTTCGAAGCATTTGAACAATAACGACGATATTACCCCGAAATCCCTACAATAAGAAACGAGTTCAGTAATCGTTTCTCAACAGAAACTGAAGCAACTTACACAGAACTACTGTATAAAAAGGAGCGTTTACGTACCGAAATGTTTATACAAATGGTGATACTCTATTGTTGCTATTATTGCAACTGTTTCTACATATATAGCGTTATATAAATGTGATTAATAGCTATTGTTAGAAATTGGTCACTGCAGTAATGTAACCATATTATACGTTACCTTACTTTGCGTGACTGAATATACGTAATTAACGTGAAGGTCAACTATATACGTTCCTTAACGAGTTTATGGAAAAATACCTAAATCAAACTATTGTTTTGGAGAATACACATTCCAGAGAGAAAGAAAACATTATACATGTTCTGTGCTCTTTCCACTTTATTGTACAGAATAAGAAAGACAAGATATCTTCAGAATAGTTAATAATACGTCGTAAAACTGCAGTTCTCGTTCAAATTTTCACTGTGCACTTTCATAGAATTTTGTTAAAACTGACAGCTGACATCCAAAACAAATGTAACAGGGGCACTTATGTTATTACCATAATTCTAATCTTCGTCAATTAACACTTTATGATAGACTTTTCAATTCTAGTCTTTACCTACTAAAACTTATTAGTTTTGTTGTTAAACATTTGTTTACCGTATGCAGTTTGAGGAAACGCTCGAAACTTCTAATTACCCTAATAACAGTAATAACAGTGTGCAAAAGTTACTCCTTCCAAATAGTCTGATCAACTATCAGTATTAATAATCTATCATTATCCAAATTCATTCAAAAACCGAGGAATATTTATTCCTTTTACATTTTCCAATCTTCCTTGACCATGTCGGCTCCTTTTTCACTGATCATGATCGTCGGCGCAACTGTATTCCCAGAAACGACGTTTGGCATGATCGAAGTGTCGATCACACGTAATCCATTAATCCCGTGAACCCTCAATCTGTGATCCACCACAGCCATGGAGTCATTCGCGGGACCCATTTTACATGTTCCGGATACGTGATAAATTGTCCTTGTGAAATGTCTAGCAAGGCATTTCAAATGGTCATCCGACATCACCTCGAATTTATCGCAATCACTGTGAGGGTTTGGATGTAGTCGAGCGTTCAGTTTCTTCATCGTTGGAGTCTCGCTTATTTTGTGCGCGATCTTCGCTCCGTCTATCTATATTAATTAAAAATCCAAGGTTAGCACGTTAGCACATCCTTAATCGTTATAGTCTTTGGAGATTTTTTCAAGTATCAATTGGGAAATTATTGTCTGAGTTTTGATAGACACTTGTGTGACAGGAAGAGATGGAAGAGCTTCGTTTCTCTGTTTAGATTCTAGCATGTGATTACTTGCAGCATTTGAGTGTGATAATGGATATATAGAGAAGTAAGTGAAAGATAAATATGAACTTTAGATGATCTCTTGTTGTAGTAACTGTATTTCAAGAAGCAAGTATTCAGGGATTGAAGTTGGATCTAGAGCCTAGATAAGAAACTTTAATGAAACTGTTTCATCACCTAATCCCTTTTAGAATTCCTTCTTAGCACTTTACCATCAGTAATATTTTGTTATCTTGATAACATCAGTATTATGCGATTTTATTTTATATATTAAGATCATTTTCTGATTAATATTTATATAATATTTCATAATACGTCAACAAATAATTCAATGCTAGCCTAACTAGCTATACTTTTGTTCCAAAACCTCACAGACATTGCATTCTAGTGTCCCTCATAGTGATGTTTCCTAATCCAGCTCTAACCCTTCAATTGTTCCCCTCAGGTTCTTTTATTTATGCAAGGGAGTAGTTTCTCTTACCAGTACATCCAGATCATGAGTATCCTTGAAGTAATTGGAAACTAGTATCGGGTGTTCTTGCGGATCCGTGGATCGCAACTTGACGTATCCGGCACTTCTAGGTCTCAAAAGAAGCGCAGTGACCGAGTACGCATATCTGTGAAGGATATCATCGCACCAGCTCTCGTGGAATTCGTTTTCATTCTGCTTAAGCCCATCGAGGCAAGCGTTGTTAATGTCAGCATCGGGGGAAAGAAGAAACTGAACATCAGGATAGTCGTCTGACGCATTTGCATACCTGATGAAAGGAGTGTTCGTTAGGTACATTCATAAAAATATTAGGCGCCATTGCTGATTAGTAAATTAGCCAAATTTTTTAACTGATTATATCTTATAATAATATTTTATATTATATAACAACACCTTATGTTTACGTTTCAAAATTTTATCTAAAATCTTTAGTAAATATGGTATACAAGAATGCAGCTAAAAAAAGAATATCAAAAGATAGAACATTACTTTAAAACAAAGATCACAGTTGCTTAAAAAAAAATATATATATCATGTACACTCACTTGGTGTTGACGAAAGCTATAGCTTCGGTGAAGACTGACGAGTAGAAAGGTCCGCTGCGGTTCATAGCGAAGTCCATGGCCGCCTTAGGGGTAATAGAAGTTGGCACGTTGAACGTGAAAGGATAGTCGCCCTTGTAGTCCTCTGGCGGGTCCACCAAGTAAGTCAAACCACTCATTCCCACGTGATCCTGAAGATTCTGGCCCACGCCTGGCAAATCGTGTACCACGGGAATTCCCATTTCTTGCAGGTGATCTTTGGGTCCAATACCGGACAACATCAACACTTGAGGCGATTGTAGCGAACCAGCTGATAGGATAACTTCGCGATCAGCTTTCACCTCCTTCAGCGCTCCATCCACACGGACTTGCACTCCGTATGCAATTTTCTTGTCCCCTTCTGCGAATCAAAGAAAGAAACATTGTTCAATTTTTGATAGGTTTGGGTAGGTTTGGGTAGGTTTGTTCTATCTAGTTTAGTTTTGACTAATGTTCTTCAATTTTGTAGAGTTTTATTCAATTCTATCGAGTTCTGTTGGATTTCGTTATGTTTTCTTAAATTTTGTCAGGTTTTGTTGAGTTGTATTCAGTTCTGGACAGGTTTGTTCTACTTAATTTAGTTTTGTTCATTTCTTGTTCAGTTTTGCCCAGTTTCATTGAGTTTTATTGAGTTATAATGAAACGTTAATTTACATTACGATCGTTTTGTAGAATTTCTTCTAGGATCTCCATACTATGAACGTAATGCAATAGTATACGACAGTAAAGGTTAATTGGAAATAAAAAATCGGAAATAAATAAATGAATAAATAATAAATTGAAAATAAATCCAGAATACTCGCCTTCCCGCACCAAAATCTTCTCCACCAACGAGTTTACACTGACATGCAGATTCTTCCTCTTCGAAGCAGGTCGAAGGAAAGCCTTCTCAGTGCTGCAACGCAGCCCATCCCTCACCGTGCTTTGCGAGACCATAAATCCAGTTTGCTTCGGTCCGTTTGAATCTACGACTTCGTATCCCATTTCAGGGCCTGCCTTCATCAGGTAGTCAACTACTGGTGTACGATACTTGAAGTATTCCACGGTCTGGAGTCCACCTGTACTGTGGTAAGGGGACCCTTCGAATTCGTCGATCCTCATGTCCTGAGACTTCTTGAAATAAGGAAACACGCTCTTGTAGCTCCATCCTGGATTACCCAACTCCTCCCAGGTGTCGTAATCTTTCTTGTTGCCGCGGATGTAGATCATGCCGTTTAGTATAGTACTTCCTCCGAGGGCCTAAGACATTTTCATAAAACTTTCATCGAGTGTTTGCCTTAAAATTTGTAATTGCGTGATATGTGTTTATCAGGAATTCGAACCCTAACCCGTACCGGGTTCCGGTACTTCGTATTATAGAATAACCCATCTAACCAGGTAACACAAGACATCTGTAACCCGGTTATATAATACAATTATAATAATACAGTAAAAACCATAGTTATTACCATGTTTCTAAACGGTAATCAATTTTATTTCAATATTGTCTGTTTTCTACTCTACTGTCCATCCGCGAGAAGAAGGTCATGCAAGTGCTCACATTTACTCGTATTTACTACTCGTTTACTGTACTTATGTAGCAGAACGGGAACGTAAACACTTGCCCAGTACATGTATGAATAGTACATCTTGAATAGTACATGTATTGGCATAAACAGTCGCTTGAAGGACTCCCTATTTTGACCGGACGTGTTATGAGTTTTGTGGGAACCCCAACACTAGCAACTGTGACAATCGGGCGAATGACAAACATTCGTCAGTCTTGCCTTAGAACGTGTAGTGAACGTGTGTGCTCTACATTCATTATATACTCGTACATTTTAAACAATCTAGTTTCATTTGATTCGAATATTGCCTATAAGTTCACATATCTTTGACTTGTCTGGATGTCTAGAATGTCTTCTTCTACTAGTAATCCACTCCGAGCAGATTAACCCGCTCTTCCTACAATTCAAGAACCGTTCCTTCGTGGTTAGTACGGGTTACAGTAACCTTCCCTTCATTAACCGGGTTTGGGTTAGGGTTCAGCAGTGGTTCGAATAATCCCTGGTGTTTATCGATAACAATTAAATATACTATAATTTTTTCATGTACTTGGCGTCGAGACGCTACCGCGTTTCTAGATTTTATTTATTTCACACCGAAAATAAATGTTTCACTACCTTTCCTCTTGGCCAGCTGCACCTGTGGTCCTTCATCGCCAAGCATGACGTGTTCGAAGATTCTGTTTTAAACTGCCAATCCGCTTCTGTGCCCTGTAGGATGTTATACGCGTAGGGCACGTCGCATACTTCAGGTTCGTCAGGGCCAGCCTCCAGCATTAGCACTGTACAAGTATCATTCTCCGTTAATCGATTGGCCAACACGCAGCCTGCTGCACCGCCCCCGATTAGGATGTAATCATAACTGGATTTGATCTCCGAAAAAGGCACGGGTTGTATTCTGTTTTCAGCATCAGTGATATCGGGTCTCAGAATGGTAATGAGCGACTTCATAAGCGTGATGGACATTAGTACTGACGTTAGAGTTGCCGCCACTTGTACTCCTGCGATTATCTCACTAGTGGGTGGCATCGTTTTCAATAGTTAGCGAATCACTGTGAAGAATCGATGTTATGATTTATTTGTTGGTACGGGTTGCGGCTATGTTATAGAACAAACTTTGTTTAATTAATTTGAGATTGGAGCTACCAAAGACAATGCATATCTGACTGTTGAACGCAGTAATATGTCTTTGAAATTAGAGAGACAAGGAGCAAAATCAATTTAACCATCTATGAGCTCTAATCTTCAGATCGCATGCTAATATGTCGAGATTCTACCAAATTAATTTTATGTAAAGTCCGTCCATAAATAGTGACATAGTTATTCCTTGTTATTTTCAAATTTTTCCTGATACATATCCATTGTTTAAAGTATTTTAAATCGAGTTTCTCACAAGATAATATATTCGTCTTAATTATATAATGCCTCTGATAACCAATAATAATGATATAATCAATAATAATCAATAATAATGATATTATCAATAATATTGATAACGATTGACAGCATGATCACCCCGAAGTATCAAAGTAAATGCATCGCAAGTTCCTATTTTACTAATTATCATTGAAAATTGTAATAAAAATTTTAAAAATGAACTTGATACAGATGGATTCATTAGTCTTCCTATTTTATAATAATTGTCATTGAAAATTGTAATAAAAATTTGTAAAAGAAACTCTATATAGATGGATTAGGTTGGCTTTATTAATAGTTTTATTGTGTAGTATTTATCCAGTTGCTGTCTAAGAGGAAATTTAACATATTTTCCATTCAATGTATACTTCTTATGTCAATTTAATACTTTCCAATTATCATTTGTCACTCTTCTTGCAAAGTTATATATACATATTGTCGTACGTAAGTTATCGGACACTTGCGTGTTGGGCTTGGAAAATGAAAATTAATCATTGAGACCGTTACGACTATGTTTTCATCGGTTTTCGTTGGGATCTTTTTATATGGCCATTTATTAATAACACATGAGTAATTTTGTATGCGAACATCGTCACGACTCTATATCAATTTCACTTACGTTATTTTTCAAGGTTTATGATACGTGAACGTAATGTTTTCTAATTTCGAAGCGACCTTATCACCTTGTTGTGTCATAATTATTTATTTCAAGTTAGATCGACACGTGTGGTGTCGTTGACATTGTTGAATCATCGCTCAAACAATGTGTCATTGCTGGGAAAGAATGAACAAACGGATGAGAAAGGAAATTGATAAATGATAATGTTTAGACTACACACTGAGTAAACTGTAATTTCAAATAATTATAATTTCAATAATTGCATGAAACTAAACCTTACATTTTTCGACGAACAGTGAAAATTTAAACGAATGAAGAACGTTTAAAAAATGTTTCAATATATGAGAGAAACAATACCTTAATATTAGAGCTACTCATTTTATTTTTACCCGTGTAAGAAGTGACAAAAGTCATTGAGGAATATTTAAAAGAAAGATTTTACTATTTCAACTATTGTATTAAAGAAATTAAATCGTTTAATGTTCGTGTGCATATATGTTTGTATACATGCGTTTAGTGATGTTTGTTAACAGAATTACATCTATACATCTAAATAAATTGTAATGACTCTTCTAATTTTATCTAATTCGACTTTGAGTAAAATTCGTCAATAAATAGTGACATAGTCATTCCTTGTCATTTCCAAATTTTTTCTGGTACAGATCCATTGTTTGAAGTATTTTAGAGCAATTTTACGGAATTTTTCACCTGAAACCTTTTTCTATCTTCTCTAATAAACACAATATTTAATTTAATCTTCATCCTCTGCTCTTTGCATCCCTTTTATAATATCTGCGTGATGATTCCACTATACTAAAGCTACCATCATTTTGTGCAGTAATGTAAAAAAGAAAATAAGCATAGAAAAGAAAAGGATAGATGACAAAATAAGAGATTCTTACCTTAAATGCAAGATCGACAACGAGTTGGTGTAAAGGAAACAAAATGGTAGTCGTCCACTGTCATGGAATTGTCAACAGTCGCCACTGACACGCAAATAATGACAATGATCTGTCGTAAAAATCAAAGCATTTAAACAATAGTACCTCAAAATTACCCTGTAAAAAAAAAGAATGCAACTCTTTCTAATAGCGACTGAACTCGTTTTCACGGAGACTACTGCATAAAAAGGCCACACACATACGTATGGAAATGTTTACATAAATGCTTATTGTTGTTACTCTTGCAAATGTCTCTGCCTAGTTATGTAAGTGTGTTTAACAGTGTCATACATGGGTTGTTGAAATTTATTCATCGCGTTGCAAGAGTCCGGCTTGTACGATAATTTACTTTGTATGTATGGATGTTTCTAGTTGTTAGGCTCATGGACATAAGTTTCGTAACAATTTCTTTTTATGGAAAAGTACGAAAGGCAATTATTTTTCGCCATTGACGCCATTCTTCGCGAATGGGATTGCAGTTGCTTCCCCATTACAAGTGCTCCATGATTTCTACTTGTCACACTTTTTCAACTTTGTACAGATTATAATGTTAAAAATATATTATAACTCAAGATATATATATTTAATTAATTCTGCAAACAACTTCCAAGGGGTTAGTTTGATATTTCAGGTTGATGGTGCTGCCAACTGCCATCGATATTGTTATTGGTTATCAGAGACATTATATAATAAAGATGCATACGTCATCTTGTGAAAAAGACTGAAATTATTTGGTAAAATAATACCATTCGAACCTCGATATATTAGCATGTGATCGGAAAATTTCACGGGCCCATAGATGATTAAACAACAAGCAATAAGTACTAATAATTGTGGATAGATATTCCTCACAAAAGTTTATTATTTTGAAATAAATAATAAATCAATAACATTTCAGTTTAATTTCTAAATAAAATCCACGATTTACTTCAAGTGATAATATGATTCTACGAGTTTTGAATATACTGCGGTCAACAAACCACGAGCGTGCTACGCGTTGTTTACAATAATACGTTGGCTGCCAAACTATTCCTGGAAATTTACAGTCAGTGTAATTTTGCACATCTCTTCTCCAAAATTAATTCATTTAATTCCTTAGTAGAAAGTACTGTCACCTAGTCCAGGCCGATGATATTCATTCTTGGCAGGTTTGATGTCCCCAAATAAATGATTCATTATAAATATGTACATAAATAGTCTGCATACATGTATATATTTATAATAAAAAATGTATTTGGAAACTTCAAACCTATCAATTAATTTAGACAAATGTCTTCAATAGAAATAAAGACTACGAATACTTATGGGATTGACTGTAAGTCTGTTAAGGAATACGAAATCCATTCGACAAAATAAAGGCTTCGTTATAATTTTGGTATAATTGAATTTTAATTCGCATTATTCACAATGTACAATAATATCATTTATATTTCCAATCCTCCTTAATCATGTCAGCACCCTTTTCAGCGATCATAATCGTCGGGGCATTCGTATTTCCAGATACTACTTTTGGCATAATCGATGCGTCGATCACTCGTAGTCCATCGATCCCATGAACCTTTAACCTAGAATCGACCACAGCCATGGAGTCACTCACAGGGCCCATTTTGCACGTCCCAGATGGATGATAGATCGTCATCGTGTAATGCCTAGCGAAACATCGCCAATAATCGTCCGATAAATATTCGAAAGACGAGCATTCCAAGACACGATTTGGATTCATCCGTGCATTCAATCTCCTCATCGTTGGGGTCTCGCTCAGTTTGTGAATGGTCTTCGCTCCTTCTATCTGTGTCAAATAAAAATTCACAGATGTTAAACTGTTTCAGTATCTTGTACTTTATTGGTTAATTCTTGTGTGGCAGAGAAAAGAGAAAAATGTTAGGTTGTCTCAAAAGATTCTTTCGCTTTATTACTAAGTAATATATGCACAATATTTTATGTTTTATGTTACATTACTGAATTGTGCACGATTCATTTTGCTCCATTACTGTTACAAACATGAATATCTATGAAATTAGATTGTCTATTTATAGAAACACGACCACATAAAATAATTGAGTGCAACTCGCGGAGGAAACTTTCGGGACAACCTAATATTTCAAGTCTTAGGTAAGATTCTAGCACATAGTGATTTTATCATTGCAATGTACTGCATTGCAATGTTACTGTGGAATGCAAGTGCAATCATAATGCAAGTCAAAGTGTTATTATTTTACTTAATTTTGATATCTTTCATGTCTTCTAATTCGAGTTATATACAACGTAATAGCAACGTTGCTATAATAGCAACGTAAGGTTTATTAAGAAATATCTTAAATTCTCCTCTTTTCATAACATTTAAAAAATGCCAAAATCTATCCATATCTAGACTAATATTCTTCCTTGAACATTCTTTTTAGACTTTTCCCTGTAAATATATAATTTATCCTATTCGTTTACCAGGACATCCAGATCATAGGGATCCTCAAAGTAATTGGGAACTATGATAGGATGATCGTTTGGGTTCTTCGATCGCAGTTTGACGTATCCTCTGCTTCGAGGTCTCAAAAGTAGCGGAATAACCCAGTATGCATATTCATACAGGATATTTTCGCATAATCGCCCATAGAACTCGTCCTCGATATTGCAGACCCTCTTTCCGAAGAGACCACCGTCCGTATTGTCAGCTTCAGACGACAAGAAGATCTGTATATCAGGATAATCCTCCGAAACATTTGCATATCTGAAAGTATAATTCATTCCCTGCGTTGATAAAATGTTTCTAAATGAACGCTGAATAAGATAGTATGCAGATACAATTTTGCACGTCCAAGCTGGATGTATTTTCATAATACATACATGTATAGTTATAATTATGAATTATGTTTGAAAATGTTTGAAGACCTACAGTGGGTGTAAAAAGTATTCGTACACCGATCAATTTCCCAAAAAACTTTAGTTTTAACTTCTTTTTTTATAATCAATGATATTTTACATATTCTTGGATGTCCCTAAGATAGATATAGTCCAAACAACATTTACTAGTTAATATAATTTGCGAAATTAACAAAAAAATGCGAAAAGTGGGTAAAAGTGTAGAAGCGAAAAGTACTTGTACGATTCTTATGACGAACCATTTAAAGTAGAGTTTGTAACGTAAACACATTAGTTTATTGCTCCGTGCAAATTAGGAAACATCAAATTTCCAGGAAAGTACTTTTAAAGAAGGTTCTAATAGAGGAATGGAAAAAAATCTCACTTCGAATAACTAATAATTTAGTTAATTTAATGATTAGAAAAGTTACAATAATTATAAAATCATAAGGAAATCCTACGAAGGAAGTATTATATACTTATAAATTAACGTAAATTTCTCTTTTTTTAAATCAAGTTTTAAAAACTAAACAGTTGTGCGAATACTTATTGCTTCAACATTTCTATCGATTAATTGTTTTTTTCTTGTTAATTTCGCAACTTACATAAATAGCTATCTTTTTTGTACTCTATCTATTCTAGATCAATTTCCGAGAATATGTAGAACGTCATTGTTTATAGAAAATAAATTAATAAATTACAATTTACATAGTTTTTTCGGAAATTGATCGGTATACGAATACTTTCTACACCCACTGTATCTCTTTCAACAGGCCTATGCAGATCAGATTTGACCGATAGAATCCCCTCCACTTTTTATTTTCATGTAAGAAAATGTTGGTTGTGCTCCGTTATTGCGTAGTCCGTAGTATATTTCGCTGTTAATTTCGGTGCTTGGAAGGGGAAATGACCGTGGGAAGGGCGCTACCCCTCGTGGCTTGTTTAGCACGTTGAGCAGGTCAGTCTATGGGTTGGGCCTCCCCACGCGGTCGCTTCCCCTGATTCCACGCGGCGCAGTCGAGAGAGAAAGACGCCAGTCTAGATCGGATCGCGGAGTAGGGTAGTCACGTTATCTGCATCGATTTATCGCGATCGAAGTAGGGGTAGCCTTTGGTTACACGCGCCGATCTAGGAACTTTTCTGATACAGTGTGTACAGTGATACAGTGTGTTATAACATAGTAAATATTTAAATTTTAAAAATAGCACAGATTTGTATAGATTCACTTGGCGATCTCATCGACTTTTTATAATACTATTCTTTAAACAATTACAATCTGTAATTCGAAGTCTTCTACCTCGGAAACTGTCGTCCAAAGTATACGTTGATAAAATTACATTAACTAAGTAAGTTTTATTAATTTTAAAAATTTGTTAGATATATACGGTCATCTTAACCGGTTTCGTTCTCGTGGACGTGTTATCTCGCGACGACGATACTGTTTGTATCTGGTCGCAGACGTGTTATCCCGCGACAACTATGCTATTTGTATAAGGTCACAAACGTGTTATACCGCGCCGCGGTACCGGTCGTACAATGCCACGGACGACATATCTCGCGTGCTCCATTATTAGATTAAGAACTTTAACACGTTGATCGCCACGTCACCCATATATGGGTGACAGTGCTTTTCACTAAAGAGCTCCAAAAATTGATTCCGAAAGTTAAGTGTCAAAGAAAATGAATTTTAATGAAATTCTTGAATTTCGATAACGACACAAAAATAAATACCACAATAAATGTCTGATTACGTAGTTTCCAGTAGTCTGTAAACAAAATTTAAACACAGTAGAAATTTTCAAGAGTATTAGTCTGGCAATCAACGTGTTAATTCGGAAAGGCGGTAATTTTGGAAAGGGTATATAATAAAGCAAAGCTTTGATTTAAGGATATTTGTAATTTATTATTTCTCTTATTATTTCTACAACACCGGTTCATAAAGAAACCAGATATTATCGCAAGAATTGTAATGTCGCGTTATGTGCAGTTCCCTGCTTTGAATTGTACCATACAGAGAAATTATATATTTCAAATATCCTTAAATCAAAGCTTTGCTTTATTATGTACCCTTTCCAAAATGACCGCCTTTCCGAATTAAAGTTCTTAATCTAATAATGGAGCACGCGGGATATGTCGTCCGTGGCATTGTACGACCGATACCGCTGAGCAGTATAACACGTTTGTGACTTTATACAAATAGTATCGTCGTCGCGAGATAACACGTCTATGAGAACGAAACGATGAATACTAGATTTACGGAGCACGGTGATTTTGATCCATTTCAAATTTCACACGGTTTTACAGAAAAACCATTTACACTTTTCGTCAACCATTTATCACGACCTTTTGTTCATATAATGAGACAAGCATAAATCCAAATTCATTTTTACTTAATTTATTTATTTCTCTTTGTTAATTTGAATAACTCGACTTCACTTACTAAAGCATTACTCCAGTAATAAGAAATGTCCGTAAACCTAATGTCACTAATTATTTTACAAATGTTTATAGTTCGAAATTTTACTATACAAATTTTACTATTGTTCGAAATAAAATTTACAGTTGTTATCGAAGTGGGCAAAATTCTTATCTAGATGCAAATTTAGAATAACAGATAGAAGATTAATAGTAGTTTCATCCATTAGTTGAATAAAAATTAGAACCTGATTTGTGGAACGAAATATTTCTCGATGGGCAACTAGAAGATTAATTAATTGAACAAATCTTATAATACATTTCTACACGGTGGTTTGATTCGTTATCTATTTTAGTTGAGTTGAATTTTGCCCATTTCTGCTCCGAATTTCCAATGTTTACAAGTAGTTATTACAACTTCCCCAACATGTACCGAATAAATACCAACAGTCCCATAATTTTTTAAGACACGACAATACATTTAAAAGTTTATCTTTTTCGACGAATGCTGAAAATAGACCATTTTTCGATATCGTCAGTATATTTTCGTGACAGAATCGTCAATGGGTCGAATAATCAGATTCATACCTTCATACTCATACTTACTTAGTATTGATAAAAGCCATAGACTCAGCCATAGGCAACGAGTATAAGGGCCCAGTGTGGTTCACTGCGAATTTCTTGATCGTGTCCGGGGTAACTGATTTCGGTAGAACGAATGTGAAAGGATCGGTACCCGTGTATTCCTCTGGTGGATCCACCAAGTATGTCATACCACCCATCGCCGCGTGATCTTGAAGATTTCCACCAACTCCTGGCAACTCGTGCACCACAGGGATCATCATTTTTTCTAGATGATCTCTAGGTCCGATCCCAGATAACATTAACACTTGCGGCGATTGTATTGCACCGGCTGATAGAATTACTTCGCGATTAGCTTTCACCTCCTTCAGCATTCCTCCTGCGCGAAATCGCACGCCATACGCGCTCTTAGATGCTCCATCTGGGAAAGAAGACCACTTTAGTCAGTTTAGGGTACTTCTACTCAGTTTTGAATAGTTCTGGTTGGATTTAGTTTGGTTTCGTTTAACATTGTTTAGTTTTGCTTAGCATTGCTCAGTTTTGAATAGCTTTGTTCTATTTAGTTTTGCTTTGTTTACTATTGATTAGTTTGAATAGCTTTGTTTCGTTTAATTTAGTTTTGCTTAGCATTGCTCAGTTTTGGATAACTTTGGATAGCAGATTCGTTGACTATCGTTTCAATTAAAAATTTGAAAGAGTCCAATAAATTAGGGATATAGACATTTCCTAGGGATTAGAAATTAGGGATATAGAAAGTTAATGCACTACTTTTCCTATATATTAGTATCGAACGTTATCCAATAGTCTCGTATTTAATAGTTGAAATTTCGAACCAAATAGAAACCAAATTTTCAATTAGCTTCTCAAAGTAGCTCTATATTATAAAACAAAATATAAAGGTCTCCTATGTCAATATCTACCCTCATCAAATTTTCTTTTAATTGAGTGATATATATTAGATATAGAAATTAATTCTGTGCCTTTCAAATTATAAGGTAAACTTGAAGATGAACTTGAACTTGCCAATTATTTAAAAAGAGAATCTTTAGTCCGCGGAACCTTTTACACACAGCCAATTTATTATAATAATAAAGAACAATAGTCAGGGTGTAATAGCTGGTCTGTAATTTTTTGAAATATTTATATCGAAATTCTTTTAAATATATAATAATCGTAAACATTACCTCTACACCTCTCTAAACAAAACTCAACCTTTATTTAAACAAAAAGGAGCAAACGCAATATAAAAATAGAAGCAACGCTTGCCTTCGCGCACCAAAATCTTCTCCGCGACCGAGTGTATGCTAACATGCAGATTCTTCCTCTTCGAAGCCGATCGAAGGAAAGCCTTCGCGGTGCTGCAACGAAGCCCATCCCTCACTGTAGCATGCGAGTACGTAATTCCAGTTTGAACAGGTCCATTCGAATCTACCAGTTCGTAACCCATTTCGGTGACTCCTTTTACCATGTAATTAGTTATGGGTGTACGGTACTTAAAATGCTCTACGGTGAGGTATCCACCTGTTTGGTGGTACGGCGAATTTTCGAATTCTTTGATCCTCATGTCTTCGGACTTCTTGAAGTAGGGCAACACGTTTTTGTAACTCCATCCTGGATTACCTAGCATTTCCCAGCCATCGTAGTCTTTCTTATTGCCACGGATGTAGAGCATCGCGTTTAGTACACTACTTCCACCGAGGACCTACGGAATTTCAATGGGAATTTCATGAATGATCCGGTCTAAAAACTCATGGTCATAAATAATATACAGGGTGTCCACGCTAAAGTGTGACAAATGCATATTTTCAATAACTATTGATGATACGAAAAAATTGATTCGGAAGGGAATTGTTAACAAGATGCAGCCAAGATAGAAGCTTGGATTCAAGTTTTCAGACAAGATCGAGAGCGAGGGTTATGTTTTGATTGCAGCAGGTCAAACTTAAGGGATGAGAATAGATGTTGAAGGTACACTGATTGAGGAATTCTAAATTTCTTCCATTAATAAATGAGATTGTTACTTTTGAAGGAAAATGTGAATTAAATTCTGAGGGTGTGCTCTTTTTATTAACAAATGTTATCTTGCAACCTATGATTGAAGCGTTCACTGCGCAAGTTGATTAACTCCATCAGTTACATAAAAATTGTAAGATTACTGACGATGATCCCTTAACCCTTTGGACTCGAGGCCTTTTTTTCTGGTATCTACCAGCAACTCAAGATGTTTCTTAGCATTCTATCGCCATGAATTCTAAGCTATTTAGATTTGAGAATAAGCTCACCATTACCTCGCCGATAATCATTTTATTGACACTTTGAACTCCAAAGAAATTAAACCTAAAGGAACTTTAGGTGTTGCAAATTTGCTGCTTGAAACCTAATAGTGATTGAGAGTCACCTCTCGAGTGCAAAGGGTTAATATTAGGGGTGTGCGAGATCCCGGTCGGGACGGGATTTCCTCCCGGGATCGGGATGGAATCCCGAGAATTTCAAAATCCTAAATACATCCGGGATTCCCAAGAATTTCGAGATCCCGTAAGTGTTCGGGATTCCCAGGAATTTCGAAATCCCGTACATTCGGATTGCTGAAATTTTCAAGAATAATAATACTTTCGGAAATCCCAGATATTATTCTATATCCCGTACATTGTCAGGAATCCCGAACATTTTCGAGATCCCGTACATTCTCGGGAGTCCCGGATTTTTGCGGGATCTCGTGTGTTCTCGGGAATCCCGAATATTCTCCAGAATCCCGGATATTTTACGAGAATCCCGAATATTTTCGGGAATCCCGCACACCCCTAGTAAATATCAATAAATGTAATTCAATTTAATTTGCCATACCTTGCCACGTGGCCAGTTGCACTTGCGATTCTTCATAGCTAGACAATACCCTTCCGAAGGTTCCGTTTTAAATTGCCAATCCAATGGCGAGAGCTGTAAAACCGGCAACGCGACTGGTACGTCCGATATTTGTGGTTCGTCGGGGCCAGCCTCCAGCAATAACACCGTCCAGTTACCATTTTCCGACAAACGATTTGCCATTACCGCGCCAGCTGAACCTCCACCGATTATCACGAAATCGTAACTGCTTTGAATGTTCACCGGGGATATCGGTTTGACTCTGTGCTCGCGATCGGCGATATCGGGTCTGTGCATGTTGATGAGCATCCTTAGAAGGATCAGGAAACTCAATTCAGGTCCGAAAGACATCGCTATTCGGAGTGCAGACAGTCTGCCAATCGTAGCCATCCTTTCTAAAGGTTTAGGGAATCACTATGAACGAAATCGAAATCGTAAAATGTATTTTTTCTTCGTTATTTCCACTTCTTATAATTCTGTAAGCTGTTAAGCTTGTATAGTTGACGGAAAAATGGCTGTCGATTTTAATAAAATTGATTCGCGAATTTCTGCCAAGAAAATAGCTTTTGTTTAGGTTAACGAACACTGGTACTTAAATTCCTTAGCATTTCTTTCACAATTGATCTGAGATAAATGTATAGCGTACAGTTAAGAGGACGTTTCGCGCACTGTTCCGAGTCACACACGCATGGTTTTTCTCAAACCATAGAAAGTCGACTGACTGAAAAATGAAACGAAGGAAATTCGATCGGTAATACCGAATTTTGCTTCGTCAGGTGTTTTCTGTACGTGCTCGAGCGTCCGAATTAAAAGTTTGCAGACGTGGAAGCAAGTTTGGGATATTTGCTTGTAGCCTTGGAGTATCGTGGTGAGTTTAGGAAGGAATCGATATCGTCTACCGGAAGTACTACCGGGTGTTAGTGTAATACAAGGTGGTTGTTTTTTATTTATTTTCATTTATTTATTTATTTATTTATTTATTTATATAAACGGGAATGATCCATGTGCGTTTATAAATAGTAAGCGTAAAAATTAATTCTGTGTCTCTATGTTCAATTATTTATAACTACAATAGAATTATTATAATAATATTGTTATTTCATTTTGCATAAGTGTACATGCCTTTTGGTTATGTTTGTCATGTATTTATTATATTAATTTATATCGTAAACTGAAATTATAAATGATTGATTATAAAGACACAGAATTAATTTGTGCAAGTAATATTGTAAACATAAGGAAAAATAAGGAACACACACATTTAACAAGCTACATGTACACCAGGATTATTTTAATCTTGAAGTAAAGGAAGATGGGTTTATACCTCCATGATGAGCTGATATGTTCGAAATAAATTGGCTCAATGCATGAAGAATATGTGAACATAGATTACCTCATCGTATAAAGTGAAATTGCAATGTTTTCTCAAAAAGATAACTTGTACGCCAATGGTAACATTTTCAAAAAGAAGTTGTGTAATAAGATAAATAAGCAACTTAAAGAAACATGATATTTTTGATAACATTGCAATGTCAGCTTGTCTGTGTTGACATATTTCTGATTGCTTCATGTAAGAGAGAAACATTAAGATTTTGTGTAAGTATTTAAGTATCTTTAATCTGTGTTTCACGAGTCTTTTGGATTTTTGTCGCAGTTGCATGAATATAGTGTTTTTCCATATATAATCGGATTAGTCAGGTAGGCTTATCAAACAAATAAAAATTATGTTTAATAATTCACGATAAAAACTTGCTGTATAAAAGGAGGTGTAAGACCTTTATTTCGTATTCTCTTTTATTGTAGAAGTCACGGGTAGTGCTTTATCTGTAACAACATCAAATAAAGTAACTATCCTGATGAATAATTTCCTAATTCTTCAGGATGTACAGGGTCCTGTTATATAAAAATTGTTTTTTTTCCTACATGTACCAAACATTTTCAAATATTGCACTCTATTACAATCATGACATATACACTTAAACTAAGAGTATCATATTACTACAATTATTACTACACTTCATCTTTCTATGTACACATACAGCCTACTGTAGAGTCACCAGTGTTTATAAATAGTTATCGTTGTAACCACACAGTGTCCACAAAAATTTCAGAATCTTAGATCTAAAAAAGGTAACCAGACTTCAGTATATCATTCCAATAGAGCATCATCAACCCCAATTTCTATGATACATCACCTTCCCATCAACACTATAATCCTGATCCATCAGATCTCCAAATACGTCAGTTTCCTAGCCTCCTGGAGTAACACATTTCAATATTTACAAGTGTTTCACTCGGAGCTCAGAGAACATTGTCTTCATTTCACCCTGTGAATCATCTTTCTACATCCTAGAATACCGGAACTTCTAGTCTAGAGTTAGAGCTGGACTCCTAATCCATATCTGAATCTTCTTTGAACTCTAATCTCTGAATCTTGTTTGAACTCTGAATCTTGTTTGACTCTGAATCTTGTTTGACTCTGAATCTTGTTTGAACTCTGAATACATTCTCTAAACTCTGAATCTTCTCTGAACTCTCTGTATTATCTCACTCCATTTCACCGCCAACGCAATTCACCCTCGACCCCTCCTCTTCAGCCAGAACTCCTTTATCATATCAGACCCCTTCTCCCCAATCATGATAGCAGGTGCATTCGTATTCCCACTGACGAGATTTGGCATGATAGAAGCATCGATGACTCTAAGACCGCTAACTCCATAGACTCTAAGCTGAGGATCCACGACAGCCTCTGGGTCCCAGTATGGCCCCATCTTGCAGGTCCCCACAGGGTGGTAAATGGTCGCAGAATAGTGCCTGATCATGCATTCCCAATAGAGATCACTGTACATAGGTATATGCTTGCACCCAGGGAACTTCTTCGAGTTCAGCTCGCTCCCAAAACGTCTGAACGCTGAAGTTCTGCTCAGAGCAACCCCAATCTTGACTCCCTCCACTAGAGTAGCGACATCCTCGGGCTCCTTGAAGTAATTCGGATAGATCAACGGATGATCGAACGGGTTCTTGCTGCGTAGCTTGATAAACCCCCTGCTCTTAGGCCTCAGGAGCATAGGTATCACGCTCCAAACATCCTTGTCATTGATAGGCCCATAAACATCGTCATAGAATCGCTTAGTGAGTCCATGGACCTTCCTGATGTGTCTGCCCCCGTCAGAATTAGTCGAACCCGATATAAAGTGCAGCTCAATGTCCGGGAAATCATCAGAAACATTCACGTACTTCGTATTGACGAATGCTAATCCTTCGACACCTCCTAGAACCGTCAAGGGACCATCGCCAAAGATGGCGTACTGCATCACAGCCTGGACGCTGTGCAGCCTCTTCTCCACCATGGAGATCTCCTGGTTGACCATGAACGTGAGACCACCCAGACCCACGTGGTCCTGGAGGTTGTGACCCACTCTGAGGTCTTGAATCACAGGAATCCCATGTTGCTGAAGATGTTCCCTAGGTCCTAATCCTGACAGCATCAATATTTGAGGGGAATTTACCGATCCTCCAGACACGATTACTTCCTTTTTAGCGCGTATACGAATCACCTTTCCATCCCTGACGAACTCCACTCCATAGGTGCGTTTGGACTTTGGGTCTATCAGGACCTTGGTGACGTGGGAGTGCATGGCGACGTGGAGGTTCTTGCGCAGCCTGGCTGGTCGCAGGAAAGCCTTGGCCGTGGAGCAACGACTTCCACGTCTGATGGTACCCTGGGCGATCATGAAGCCCGTGTGTTTCTCGCCATTTATGTCGCGATTCTCGTAGCCCATCTCTTGGCCAGCTTGGACGAACGCTGCGGCCAGAGGCGTGTGCCAGGGCGCTTCCTGAACGGTGAGGTAACCGCCAGTCGAGTGGTACGGGGTGTGCGTTAAGTAGGGATTCTGGTTGTCCTCGGATTTCTTGAAGTAGTAGAGGACCTCCCTGGAACCCCAGCCTGGGTTACCTTGTTGCTCCCAGATGTCGTAGTCGCGTTTGTTGCCGCGAAGGTAGAGCATGTAGTTGAGGACGCTGCTGCCTCCGATCACCTTGCCTCGCGGCCAGTTGCACCGACCGTTCTCCATCGCTAACAAATATAAGTATCAGGTCATTAAATCATATAATTTTGGAATTGTTGTAAAATCTTTTGGAATTATAGATAAACACCAAGAGATGGATAATAAATCCGTAATAAGAAACAATTATTATATTTGTTGTAAATGGACACAAGGATGAAAATATTAACTGGTGAAATAAAAGAAACAATCTAGAGCTATTCTCGCACTTTCGCATAGACTAGATATCTTTGACTGACTGGCTATACCGCGTCTTTCTCGTTACCTTTATTGTTTACTTACATCGATGTCGGTTGGCTCCTTCACCGCTCACACACACATATAGACAACATACATACACATCCATCCATTTATTCTCGCATTGTAGAATGCCAATACATATATTTTCAAGGAAGTATTAAACGTCCGATTTGGTTTATTATATCTCGAGCAAGAAGCAATACGATTAATTTCGACCTGACTTTTAATTGCGTACTGAGGTGTGTATGTTAAGGATAATGTGTGAGATGTAGACTGACGGTAGATAGTAGTAGTTAAACAGTTCAGTATAGGTTATTCGAAAGGGTCCTTAACCATTGCTTAATCAGTTATTTTTCATCTTATTATAGGATTTAAACTGTTTTTTTTTCTTTTGCAATTCTTATATTAGATGTGGAAATTCTATGCCTTTATATTCAATTATTTATAACTCTACTTTAAACAGACACTTGTAATTTTGATGTATTAACCCTTCCGGTACGAAGGAGCTGGCCGAGGTTATATTAGGTTGTCCCAAAAGTTTCTTTCGTTTTATTAATAATTAATTAATATATACACAATATTGTATGTTTTATGTTACATTACTGAATTGTGTACGATTCATTTCGCTTCGTTACTGTTACAGCATCAATGTCTAAGAAGTTAGATTGTCTATTTGTATAAACACTGCCACAGAAAATAATTGAATGCAACTCACGAAAGAAACTTTTCGGACAACTCTAATACATTAAGCCGCGAAAACGTGTTCTGCGACGTTCATAGAAATCTCGAGCATGATTGACACTAAACTTTTATAGTTTTCTAATGCATACTGCAGAAAGTAATAATACTTGTTTCGTGGATGCCACCAATAGGTGACATTAAACCGAAAGGGTTAAAAAACCAACCTTCTAAATTCTCAACTTGATCTCAGCTGCAGTATATCGATACACGTAACTTAAGTCTCAACCTGTTGGTCATTACAATGCATCTATACGAACATCAGTAGCCACGAAATTTTATAGTTAATCAACATATCGATATTTATTACCCTCAGGGGCTGCAGCTATGTTTGATCGTAGCTGGAGTACGGGTTTAGCAACCCCGAGGTACCCGAGCTATAGATAAATGCAAATGCAAAGTAATTTAAAGAAAGAAATATTACACTGATACTTTAGGTGTTTTAGTCAAGTTCTTCGACTTCGCATCCTTATAAATGAAATTTACTCACTCGCTATAGATATTTTCTAATCGCCATCAGGTTTGGACTTGAGTATAGAAATTCATTATAGAAATTGATTCGTGACGATTCATTTAAAGATTTGGAAAATAAGTATTTTAATCAAGTAGACAAATAAATATTTCTACTTGAATTAGAGTTATAAATGATTGAATATAAAAGCTCAGAATTGATTTTTACGCCTAATAATTGATAAACATCGAAACTCACGAATGCGCAGAATGGTTTAGAATCGTATTATAATACAAATTCATACCTCGACAAGCACCTTCGTCTGGTTCGGTTTTGTATTGCCAATCGAGCTGACTAAGCTGCAAATAGCCAGCTAGAAGAGGCACATCCGAGATTTCGGTTTCGTCGCCTCCAGCTTCCAAAAGAAGCACGTTCCAGTTTTCAATCTCTGAGAGGCGACTCGCTACTACGGCTCCTGTAGCGAAAGTATACGCGAGTTTCATAAAAATTTCTCAAGTAAAAATATCGCATCGCGAGAAAAAGAGCGGTAACTTAGAAGTAACTTTATGGCAAGTGATATATCATAAAGTTTCATAAACATTTAAACCCGAGAACGTTGCTATTCAGATTTTATTAACGTAATCAAAATTCATTTTATGAATTTTATTAACCAATTGCACGCAGAATAATTTTTATATATTTCTTATATATTAGTTTCTTTATTTTTTGAAAATTCTTCGTCTGGTAAATGGCCAGAATTTTATTTATAGACAACAAATAAAACCAACTGTATCAATTTATTCGTGAAATTAATTCGATTAAACAATTAATTCCGTGGTTGTCCATCGTGAGATATTTAATTTTGCTAAAATTGGAGGATTAATCGTGTTATGAGGGAGTCCGATCTACTGTACTATGATATCGTTAGTTAAAAATCGTACCTGCAGAACCGGCTCCTATCACAATAAAATCGTAGGATGGCAGGAGCACCTCGGATGGTATATTAATCGGTGGCGCTTCGTTGTCCATAACTTCATATTGGAAGTAGACGAGCGCGGCCGCGAGGACCGGAAAGAACCATGAAAGTCCTGTCGATGCAGAGGTCAGACCTCCTGCTAAAACGCTCTCGATACCCATTTTATTCTCCTGTAATTACCCTGAACGATCACCTGTAACGTTACGTAAAGGAAGAATTAACGCTATGTACACGTAGATTTAAATTAAATCGGAAAATAATTAGCAGTACTCGTAAATAATTCACACCTCGAATTAACTTTGTGTTAATGAATCAAGTATATCCAAGTCTGTACACAAATTAAATTTGTTTAATATATTTAAATGCACGCTATAGGGTACATAACTAAATTCTTACGAACGTTTGAATTGCAAAAACCAAAAAAGACAATGCAATTATTATAAAAAAATTACACTTGTAAAACACGTATACAATTATTCCACCATATCAACAATCAAACAATCTTTGCTTGCAATGATTATCCTTCAGACTTGACACACCACCATTCATCTTCCATGCAATTTTTCAATTCACGATCATAAATAATTCAAATTCAACCTCTAAACAAATTTCCTTTTACAATTTCATTATATTTGCCACAAAAGAGCCTGTCTATAATAATCTCCATTTGAATAAAAAAAAAAAAAATTATCACTGGATTTAACTGACGACCCTTATCTATTAACAAAATTTAATTCTGTCGTAAATCGAACCTTGCCACGGTAATTAACGAACCGTTAGAGAGTCGTTAACGGTCATCGTAGGTGTAGACCGTCTTCGTTAAAGAATCCTTCGATACTGTCCAATCGAAGTCGATCCAGAGTCGCGTAGAAATCGGTCGAAGAAAAGTCCGAGGACGGATACACGTGGTCCGAGGAAGGGAACGCGTGCGTTACGAGACGAATATCAATGACACGTGAAACTTTCAGCTGTTAAGTAATTCGCTATTAACGCGGGCAGTTCGCCCGCGACGATACTCACGTACCCTATCGTCGAAAGTCGCATATTCCACGAAAACCAGGTCGTGCACGGAATTTCGCAGAAAATGTAAAACGGGGATAACGGAACGCATCTCCTTCGCCAACTACGACGAAACACCGTTGGAATGGTACAACCCATAACCCAAGTATACTGCACGTAGGAAAATTGGTGTACTCTAAATGATACGGGGTTGAAAGTGCACTTGACACATTCGCGACCGGTAACGTTTGGACATATATGTACTTAAATTTAATAATATTGTTTATTTTCGTAACATTTGTATTATACGAAATTTATTTTATCCGTTAGGATCACTTTATGAATTATATTTATATAAAATTTCATAAGTCCTTTCTCAAGGAGGAAAAGGACGCATCCATCTTGGACGCGTGAAAATCATAATGATATTAAGGAATATTAATGAATTTTTTGTCAAGAAGTATTGCCCGAATACAAAATTCTGTTTAATAGGGTTTATTATATGAAATGTATTAAATAATAAAAAAAATAATTTTTATTCACGTTTTTAAAAAAAAGTATAAAGATTGAAAGAGAAGATTGAAAATTGAAAGCGGAGCAAAAGCTTCATATCAATTTAAATTTATCTGCGATCCGAAACACTTTCTCCTTTAACAACTCGAATTAACGAGATCGAAACTTATTTTTATGTGTTTCCTGTTCTATAAATAAGAAAGTGAACAACCTTCCTGTTTACTCCATTTCATTTTACTTTAGTTTGCTCCTTTTTCGAATCTGTCGGCAGAATAATTAAGTACGTCGCTTTGCTGTTGATTTGGACATTTTAAAATCGAATATGCTCGATCAAGTTTCAATCCCACTTGCAGTATATCTGACTCCATTTAATTAATATCGTCTCTCTTAATCGAAAATTCCGTGTGTGTCTGTATAAAACGTATATTATAACAGATGCAGTCTGAACAAGCATATTTTATATAATGTAAAAGTTTTCACTGTTAGTTTATTTTGACTCGATATCTTTAGATTAGACTTTTAAAAATGTTCCATATTTTACACACTCTTTTAGTCGCTTAATTACATTTTTTTTATCAACTCAAAATTACCAACAACCAGACGAAATGAATTCTATATTATCATCTTAATTTCTAAAAACAAAAAACTACATATATTATTTTATTCATAAACTGTGATCCATTGCTATCGTATAATTTATTTATATATTTATATATTATTTATATAATATATTTATTATATATTAATAATAATAAAAGGCTTCAAACGAGGAGTCTGGAACATTTATGTCAAATACAGCACGCTTCAGACTTATTTTGTTATAATATTTGACTTTAATTAATTCAATTTTCTTCGCGTAATTTAATAAAAATATCTATACAAATTGTCGTTGACACGTAACATGGTTGTCCTGTTTAGTTCGGATCAACGAGGTTGTGGCGCACGCGCCATACAGAACGAGGTCAGACCCATAGAGAACGATCCTTTATTATTTGAACCGCAAAGCGGAATCATACAGGCGTCGCTAACTATTCCCGTCAGCCTTTTGTATTCTCGGGTTTTGTGTCATCCTTTCTGGTTCTAATTGAAAAATTACGCCTCGCAATGGTTTTCAATTCGATCTCCACCGCGATTCGTCCCACTGTGCTTGTCTTCTAAATCGAATTCCATTGACAAACATTCTTTTCACGCTGTGCTGCTTGACATTGAAGCAAGTTACCAAAAGACGTCAGAGACATTCAAGATGTTAGACTGTATTAGCTATTTTACTTTAAAAGAAATCAGTACTGTTTTATATTTAAAAAATTGATCATTGGCAGTAAACAATTGACGTCAAAAGTTCGATAAATTCCAGACGGCAATCACTGTAGTTAAAGAGTCTGTAAGCGAACTTCCGCTAGTAAATTGGTTAACTGCAACGTTTGTATTAACTTAATTTGCCTTTGAGGTAGAGAAGTTGAAAGCATCCTCGTGGACGAGTAAATCGTCACGTAGCCAACAGACAGACGTTCGATGGGGATTTAATGGGTTTGAAAAGGAAAAGCAGTACTCGCTCACCTACTTTCCTGGGAGATAAGGAGATAACGTGCACTCCAGAAGCTTCGTTTCCTCTGAGTAATCGATGCACTTAGACGTTACACGTATCCATCCTTCGGAAAGAGGATTTCCCGGCTTTTACATTGCTCAGTCACGTTTGCTTTCAACCCCTTCCGTTGTCCACGTGATTCGTCACAGAGAGTACATTCTTCCGAATGGTTCGGCTATTTGAAATATATGGAATCTAGTAGGATATCTATGAAGTTCTTGTACGATCTCCCATTCACTTAAACATCTAGAATTTTCGATCGAACTCTCTTCGAGAGGCTTTCTCTGTCCGCTGAGTTCGATATACATTAGCTTTCTTGTCACCTTTCTTTCATCGTACACTTGTAGTTTGATAGATTTTTTATCTTGAATGGAATGGCGATTTTCGAGACAGAAATTTGAATAACTTCACTAGTCTACCAGTGCTCTAGCTCTTCCAAGTGTCAACCTAGCAAGTTGCACTGAGAGCTCGTCAATAATTCATAAATAATTGAAAAGTTGGCCTGGTTGGGTTACTTTCTTCGTACACTTGCACTCTGTTAACTCTTCTATCTTGGCCTAAACACTGTATTTCGAAGCATCGATATTAAGAGAAGGAATTCTAACAAAACTTGAAAAAAGTGTCCCACTGTTCCACGTATCAGTCTTCTAGCTTCAGAGATCTAGCTCCTCCAACTGAATAGATCACACTAAAAACTCATCGACAATTCCAGAATAATTCGAAAATGTCCTGTGGTCACTTTTCTTTCTTCATATACATGCACTCTGCTAACTCCTCTATCATAGCCTAAACGCTGTATTTCGAAGCATCGATACTAAGAGAAGGAATTCTAACAAAACTTGAGAAAAGTGTCCCACTGTTCCGCGTACATTAGTCTTCTAGCTTCCGAGATCCAGCTCCTCCAAGAATCAACCGAATAGATCACGCTAAGAACTCACAAACAATTCACAAATAATTAAAAATTTAAAAGACGATGCTTCGAAGAAGAAACACTTCCTTGAAGAAAGTCCTTTCGATGCCAACGAAACTAAGGAACTCGACTTTTGGTTCCTCCTCGAGATCACTGGCGTTCAGTTCGATGGCCCAGAAAACTCGAAACGAGAAAAGAGGCCAGCGTTCAACGCTTTTTTGATCACTTGGAGAACGCAGGGGAATCCTCGTGGTCGATGAGACAGCCACACGAAGGAAGGTGTAACACTGACCGTGACCTTGCTCCTTGCACGGACGTCCGCATGCTGGATCTGTCGAGATTGGAACGGCGGCTGGTGAACAGGTTACGAACCTTTCGAAGCTGAACACGCCGCATAACGGTCGACGACTTCCCCACCTTTTCCTTCGACTCGTGCTCGTTCCATCGACGTTCATCTCCGCCTTCCTCGTGGGATCGTTCTTCTTCCTGTACCATTGACTTGGCCCCCTGTAGAAATGGAACCTTGCTTGTGTAAACAGGCAAAAGATTGACAGAAAGTTCTGTCAATAGGCAAATGTTCTGAACTAAAGCACGGTTTAACTGTTGACAAATTAAGACTGTTTACCCTTTCCAGTGGGATGATGGACACTCTGAAGGGACATCGTAGGTCTCGAAAATTTGATTAGTGATTCATTGAAGGTTTCCATATCACGAAAAATCGAATGAAAATATAGTATACAGTTGATCCCATAATTACTCGTGCTCTCTATGTCTATTGAAGAAGTTTGACTAAATTATATAATATTAGGTTGTCCGGAAAGTTCATGCCTATTTTCAAGAAAAATTCAAAGGCATATTTGAATTTTGATGTATATTTATTGAATTATATATGTACCATTTTGTTCCACAACCTTTCCACCTCTTAAGAAATGTACACATTTTATTTGTTTTCAGCCATTCCGATATATTCAGACTTGTATCGCCTACTAAAAATCGGCATGGACTTTCCAGACAGCCCAATAGTTTTGATATCACCAAATGAATTTTTCGTTTAAAATATGTATATGAATAAGCTAGTATTTAGTTTTGAGACCACTTATTGGCCATGTATGTTTGACTCGGTAAATAATTCGTAATTTATTTCAGAAACCAATTTCGTTACCTCCATATTTCATTTTCGTAAATGTTGCATGTCCTTAGACAGGGTTGAGAGAGGGGTAAAGAATGCCAGAAATCATTCTTACGTAATTAATGAACGGCCCGTAATCGGTTCGAAATATGGATCAATTTAAAGAGGTCACTTTACACGAATTCCAATATCTGTCTTTACTACCAACGTAATGATCAAAATGTACGTGTCAATAGCGTATAACTCTCTGACTGACAAAATCACATTTACACGATAGCAATGGATAACCATTAGCTAACGAAACCACGTATATCCGATAGCTGTCGATAACCGATAGTTGGAAAGATCACGTATGCGTGACAATGACAACGAAAGTGTTAATAACTCGTTCATTTGCGTCTACTGAAATGCATAAAATTTTGTTCGAATGGAAGATAATGAGTAAACTCAACCTGTAGTTAAATTTTTATTTTCATATTCATTGTCAAATATTTCATTCTATAATTTAAACTCTGGTGTTTGTTTTATGGAAGACGAACTACAAGATATTTTATTGTTTCTTTATGATGCGTGTACGATATTCAACTACCTGATCTCGCACATTATTTCGATGTAATCGAATGTTGTCGACATAAGTTTCACGTAAATATGTAATGTTATGCTTTCGCATGACGTTGAATATTGTCTTTTGTTTCATTATCACAAACAGATATTATCAAACCTGGTATGTTTATAAAATATACATTTATCAGGATTTATTCTTAAAGGTGAACTTTCTCGTTAACTTTTGTCGTAATTATTATTTCTAATTAAGTAGTAACTAGATTTATGTCGAAAAGGTCAAGTTACGTTTAATAAACGGTTTCAGATTAATTGGAATAGAATTGTAGTAAAATATATAGCGAGAATCCTAACGGAAAATGTTCGAATAACTTCAATAGAGTCTCGAATAATGTCACGAACGGGATTTGAATTACCGTAACACGCGAACGAAAATTCCTGAATATCATTAACGAATTGTGCTCAATTTTTTGACTATTCTAAACACGCAATAGGTATGCGTATAATATGAACTTACTAAGCCAAAACTTACACAGCTATATTCATATCGAAAATAGTAGAATATTCGCTTTTTTAAATTGCATAATGATATTCGGTGAAACTAATCTGATTGAATCAAATTACGAGTGGGAAGGATTCTGTTGCATAATAATTTCAGATAAATTTGAGTTGTATAAATAAGAAACCCTTCGTTTTCAATTACTATACAACACTAATGATAGTATATTCAATATTGTAGGGGTGTGACGAATATTTCCAGTATTTATTTAACGGGAGAAACCATACTAAACGCGTAAACATTAAGTGTTTTACGTGATTTCTTTGCAGAGACAAATTCACTTAATTTTCCTTAACTTTGAAAATATTTCACGTATGTTTTAAATTAAATTTGGTAACTTTACATAAATTCTTCTCTGTAAAGAGAAAATATCCTGATAAACACTGAATTCTTGCCTTCCCAATTTCTCCCGTTAATTTGAAGCATGTTTTTACGTCGAAAAACGATGGCAATCGAAACCGCGCGCCTGAGGAACGATCGAAGAATGCCGAGAATTTCAAAATCAATGGTCACAGTTACGTGAGACGAGTCACGTTTACAATGAACGATACACGGCATCGGGGAACCTCTATTTGACGTCATCGTGCGGACTTACGGTAAAGAGTGGTACCGGTCGCCATACGGGAACGACCTACTTACGTTGCAATACTCGACGCGGTTATGTATTGTCTTTAACGATCGTTGAATCACAAGGCGAATCATGGCATTACGATAAACAAGGGGAAAAAGTTTAGACGTCGCTTACGCTGACGTCGTTGGTCGTTGTGGCGCTTAGACTAACTCATTGAATAGTATTGAATGAGAAAACGCGATATCAATTAATCATTCTTTTTTTATATTGCTTTAAAGGATTTTTTCTGCAAAAGAAAATGCTTTGGAGGTGTTAGGTTCTTATTTATATTTTTTTGGAGATATTAGAAATACAAACTCTAAGGTGTAAAATAATATCTAAACAAAAGGATAAGAATAATAGGCAGAGAAGGGGACAGGAAGTATAGAAGCCTCGATACATGTGGCAAAAACGTTTATTTGCATTCAATTTTTATGAAATGTTATAAAATGATATTCTTTGTTCGCGTTTGAAAGCATTCAAAATTAAGAAAAATAATATTATGTAAGCAAAAGTTGTTTATTTTTCTTTGCGGTAGTATATTTCAAGAACAGCTTACACAAGGATGTTTATTTATTTTTATAAACACTATTAGGGACTATACACATATCTTAAATTTGCAAGACAAGATATATAAATAATATTTGGTCATTGCTTGGCCAGTTGGCACTAAAACTACCAAGGTAAACGCAATTAGAGAGTCAGTAAACTAATGTACCAATAAAATTAATTCTCTAAATTAAAATACCTGCTTCTAGAACCTGCAATAAAACCATTATTAACATGTGTTCACTGATTTTAAAAAGAAGTTCAAGCCGACTGACTTAGTAATTTTAATATCAACAAGTTATGGTAGCACTTTTTTCAATTGAAAAAGTACCATTAGAATTTCATTCCAAGTAGTTATCCTGTATTTTATCTACTTTTCCATTGAATTTTTCCCACGAATTACGTTTTTAGGAGGATGTTGCGGATCGATGAAAAAGAGGACCATCGTCGGAGGCTACGCCTTCACGTGGTGGTTCGTCACCGACGTTCAACGGCTCTCTCTGGAGGTGATGACGCTGAATCCCGTTTGCGAGAACGTGGAGACAGCCCTTGGGGTGCCTTTAACCGTCACCGGGGTAGCTCAATGCAAGATCATGAAGGCTGACGAATTATTGCACACTGCCAGCGAACAATTTCTCGGGAAGAGCGTGCACGAAATCAAATCGACGATCCTCTCTACCTTGGAGGGCCATCTTCGCGCGATATTAGGTAAGATCGGCTAAACTTTAGTAAAATAAAGTGAAAGGGAAAAATAAGTTTGTAGGCAACACGCTGTATTTTAGTATTATTATATTTATTCGTCAAGTTTACTCTGTCTACATTGTTTTTGTGTATCTTTTCTATATATTATACATATGAATCGTTCACTAAGAAAGTAGTTCAAGTCCATTCGTTTGAAAAACGGAGTTTTCGTAATAAATATGTTGATTTTGTCTGTTGCAATTACATTTACGTGTGCAGAAGCTTATATATTTTAAATAGATCAACATATTTTTGTGAAAATTGACAGATATACTTATATTAGACATTCAATATTCTCAAAAATAAATTGCCAAATGTCAGCATTTCTTCGGCCTGAAAGGTGATATTCTTCTCTAAACTAAGAAAAACTAAAGAGCCACTTTTTGAAAAGTAATTGCAAAGAAACGAATGGTATCGAAGACACAATAATTACATGTACCTTAAAGACCAAGAAAAACATTATTCAGTCATTCACATGCATCTATGATAAAATGAACGAAAAATCACTAGATACTCAACAGAACATTCTAAAAATGGCCCTTTGATACACTTTACGCAAGGCCATTTTTGTCACCCACATATACCTGTCCAATAAAATATTTTCTCACTCTTTAATGTACATCCAACCATAGTGTAGAAGTTCAAGTCAGCATTTGCATTCGTTTCTTCAGAATTAATTCCAAAAAAAAAGAGACGTAATCTTCGAGCAATTTGACTTCCCTGTCCTTAGATTCTGCTTAGAGCCACGTACGTAACGCGTCCAAGAGCTTGCAGTCTCATAACTACTCTACCGCGTTGCGAGAAGATCTGTTAAACAAAGACCATCTAAACTTCCAGGCACGCTCTCGGTGGAGGAGATATACAAGGATCGAGATCAGTTCGCGACGCTCGTAAGGGAGGTCGCCGCGCCGGACGTCGGTCGCATGGGCATCGAGATCCTGTCGTTTACGATAAAGGATGTCTACGACGACGTTCAATACTTGGCGTCGCTTGGCAAGGCTCAGACCGCCGCTGTTAAACGGGACGCCGACGTTGGCGTCGCGGAGGCGAACCGCGACGCTGGCATTCGGGTACGTTCACGAACATCAGAATGCTTTCAAATAGGACCTAATTTTGTCAGCCTGTGGGACTGTTCAATAGCAACATACTAGTGTAAATCTAATAGTTCGGAATTCTATAGTAATTTATTTTTATTTTAGCAGAAAACGTTAGCAATGTTTGGGATATCAGTAATGCCTCCACCATAGCACTCGGTTATTATTATTATTGTTTACAGTGCTTTCTGATAGGACCTAATTTTGTCTGCCTGTGAGACTGTTCAATACCAACATAGCAGTATAAATTTAACAGTTCGGAGTTTTATTATTATTACATAATTAAAACGTAGACCAGAGAAATACTTAAACTTGGCTGAACCAAATTATTCAACATTACGTTGTGAAACATAACGTTAAACGTAATATGTTAGATGACGTAAGTTAATCGTCTAACTGAACTAAATTTATGCAATTGTACTTTCCCAGGAGCTTTATCGTAGTCACAACACGTCCCGAATAATGTCGCAACTAGCCCCTCCTCGGTCCACATTTTACGTATCCTAACGTGTGTTGCTGTTAGGAGTCTCAACACTTTACTTATAGGCTTTTTAATTCCACAATCTATCCCCAAGAATTAATTTACCGTGTTGTTGGTCATCTACCTACAATGCCCAATTTATGAAAACGGATAAATGTTTCGTCGTGCCAAATATACAATACGTAGAATTTAATGTTAGCCTGAATTAATCCTTCTTTCCTGTTTCTGAATAAATCGAATACAGAAACTCCTTTTCTGTGTTCCTAGATAGGAACTCCTCTACGTTACTTCTGACGTTTTCCCTTTTCTTGCAGGAAGCAGAGTGCGAGAAAGCAGCGATGGACATAAAGTACAACACCGACACAAAGATCGAAGACAACGCCAGACTCTTCCAGCTGCAGAAGGCTAACTTCGATCAGGAAGTCAACACGGCTGTACGTCGATATTCGAACATTATTACCTCCATTAGCTTCAACTTCCACCATCCTTATTAAAAGAAATACTACTATTTTATGTCCTTCAAATAAATTAAAACAAAATAGCCGCGTTGAATCCATCGTTATTTATCACAGAAAGCCGAGGCTCAGTTGGCCTACGAGCTCCAAGCGGCGAAGATAAGACAACGGATACGAAACGAAGAAATTCAGATAGAAGTCGTGGAAAGGCGCAAGCAGATCGAGGTGGAGGAGCAGGAAGTCCGTCGAAAGGAACACGAGCTCCAGAGCACCGTGCGGCTTCCGGCTGAGGCCGAGCATTACAAAATCGGCAGAGTGGCCGAAGGAAAAAGGTTCTTAAGAACTCTGAGAATAATTTTCTCTCGTCTACTATAGTTTACGATAACTAGCAGTTAATTAAAAAAAGTTATTCAGAGCTGAAGCTCTACGTACTCTCTGAGAATAATTTTGTCTCGTCCACTATAGTTGACGACGACGAGTAATTAATTAATGAAGGAATTTAATTCGATGTTTGACAACTGGTTTCGTTGTTTACAGGACACAGACGGTGAATGCGGCTACGGCAGAAGCTGAGAAGATTCGATTGATCGGAGAAGCTGAGGCTCAAGCTCTGGAGGCGATAGGAATATCGGAAGCTGAGCGTATGCGAATGAAGGCTGCTGTGTACAAGAAGTACGGCGAGGCAGCCATTCTGAATATCGCTCTGAACGCTCTGCCAAAGGTAGGAACTCATCTCCGCAAGTTAACCACTATTTTAGTGGTTAAAGTGTTCGAGTACGAAAAATTAGACAAGCAACCAGTCAACTAGCGTCAACGACCATGCAAGCTTATTTTTATTCTAACACCATCTGTACGTTGTTTCAGATTGCTGCGGAGGTTGCAGCACCATTGGCCAGAACGGAGGAGATTGTTCTTCTGGGTGGAAACGACACGACCAGCGGAGAAATTACCCGCCTTGTGGGGCAAGTACCTCCAGCTGTTCAAGCACTGACCGGTGTAGATCTGTCAAAAGTATGTTCGAGGGGCTTTTGGCCTTCTAGAAAGTGTATAGCTAGCGCTCATGATCAAAAGTAACGTGGATTAAGTTAAAAATTGTATGGTAACAGTCCTTTCGACCCTTTGTTTATACCAGAGAATTCGTTAAACGCCTACCAACAACATTTTAGAAAATAATGAAAAGATCAATAATAACATAATAGCGAACGGATTGACAAAGTGACTGACAGCAACTGACAATTGAGATTGGAAACATTCAAAGAAACTTTAGAATCTCTAATTCTTGAAAAAGAAGACATAATTCTGCACCGCAAACGTAGACTTAGCACCGCCCACCGTTGTAGACTTGCCACGACTTTTCTTCTGCTTTGACAATACGATAATACCGAACTATGAAACTAATAACGTTCTCTCATGGTGTTTTAGGTGTTAGGGAAAATACCAGGGGCGAAGTAATGTCGAATGCAGCGACAGGTAGAACGACCAGGCGATCGGACATTCGGAATCAGCTGAAGAAAGGAGCAAAAACTCTATACTGCCAAAGGTTTCTCTGCTATTCTATTATCCACCGGTGACACTCCAACTTTTTTCTCTTTCCCGAATTACTCTACCTCAAACGTAGATGAAGCGAAGCTGAACACAACCGGTCAGATCGGTCGTGGCTCCGCCAAGAGCGCGTCGTTTTAAATGTCGATACGGTTGAACGATTGCTCGTCCCACGCGGTCACGTAAAGCGCACATTGTCAAGTTGATCCTTATTATCGTCGTCCGTGCACGACGGTTTCCAACGAGTTCGATTCCTGCGTGCATCAAAGCGACTGGTAATTTGATTCACGAGGACTTCCGGAGGCGTCGACATGGCCATACTAACGCAGAAAGATTCTCGTTGAACCAACCAAGTTAGACTCTGCTAGACATGGTCAGTGCCTGGATCATATCAATTTTATTGATAGAATCATTGGTACCTACCTGAAACTCTAGATCAGTGATTGTTAACCTTTGCAGGCTTGCCATATATTTTACAAGAAGATTCTTGGCATTTCTTATAATTATAGTAATAAATCTTCAATTGTAACAGTATACGTTCGATGAAGGAAGAAATTTAATCCGAAATAAGTATCAGTTTTGACAAGACATATTTAACCTGATTTCCTGATTGAAGATCTAATAAATACATTTAACAACCTTGCAGGATCCCACTTATCGCTTACTTTAACTATTCCTTAATTCGTGAGATGTATAAATAAAAATAACTACAAGAAATAATTTCCTTTGTAAAATAAAATGTTCAGGTTTGATGCTTCTTTCGGATGAAATTTTCCATTAAGTTATAGTAACAATTTCAAGAACTATAATACAATAAAAATTCATCAGATTTGTTGGTTAAACACGGTGGTTAGGAATCACTGTTCTAGATCAGTATTGGTTGATGCTAGTTAAGAACAACAGAACATAACCTCTGGGGTTTTCATCGAAGCTTTCGTCAGCAATTGAACTTTAAACGGCGCAGCCGGGACGCGATCGCAATTGGAAGGAAAAATGAAGGAGAACGAACAACACGAAGACAAGCGAATCGTGGCCACCAGCGAATTAGAAATAAATTTAACACGTTGACTGTCATGCGCAGGGAGAATAAATAAAAATGAAAGTGGCAACACATGGAAATATGATACTCTTGGAAAGCTAATAGAAGTGTATAAGATAATTTATTGAAACGAATGGTAGTATGAGCAACTCATAATGGTACAGAGGGTTCATCCAAAAAGGCCACTGCTCATTAAACCGCTCTGTAAGAACTCACGCAGCAGAAAAACTTAGAAATTTTTCGCTCTCAAACATGGCTACCATTCCTGGTAGCAGTAGCTGCAGAGTGCGGTCGCCATCTTGGGAAACTAAACATTCTTAAGTTCACCCTGTGAGTTTTCACAAAGCGACTTGATAAGCGATACCTGTCTGGAAGCATCCAAAGCCTAACCCCTAATATACATCAACTCCCATTAATCCTTTGCGGATGATCAACCAGGTGACCGCGTACAGTAAACATCTCTTAAGCCGTCGACTGACTTGCAATAGAACATTGTAATGTAACGCGAGCATTCGCTTAGTTTGACGAACTAGCGAGCGACGAACCGAGCCGTTCTTGCGCTCGGTTCGCGCTCGATCGTGCTCCACTGGTCTGTCGATTTTTTTGACGAACCTCTTTGATCGTCTACTTTTCACTGAACTGAGTAGGAAGCATTGAGAGAGAATTCAGCCGAGAGTTCGAAGCGAACATTCGTGATTCCAAAAAGGACCTTGTAGTGTAACGTTGGTGTCGAACCGTAAAATTCGTGCCGAGCAGTTACATTACAGCGTTCTGTTGCAAGTCAGTCGCCGGCTTTATCATTCAATGTGTCTGTACCCAACGTGTTGAAGCATCTTCCGCATACAGCGTGTCCTGCTTCAAAGTGACCGTCCCTAAAGGATTACAGGTTTAAATATTTATTGACGAAATAAGTTATCTTGTAGCTAAACCATCGCGACAGTCACCGTATTAAAACTCGTGGTAGCGCGGTTCAGGCGGAAATCGAATTACATAGGCGAATGTACGCCTTTGCATTCGCATAAATCTATTGTGATTGAAATTTTCGATCATTGTGTTCAACGTAACATAAGTAAATTTAACAAAGGGGAGAAGAGAGTAAACGTTCGTGCGGAGTAGGCGACGTGGAAGTCAACTGTCCGTAGTCGTTGTACATACCCATAGTTACGTGTGTATAATAGCAACTGAGGTTTTTGCCTTGCTTAGAACGAGACGCGACGAAGGAACGTGTTCAGAAGAACGACTCTAGTGCTGATTTGCAGCGTTCCTTAAGCTCCAAAATGTTTATTTACACACGTGAACGCTCGGATTCGGTACAATTATAATAGAATGGTACAGGTTTAAAAAAAAAAGTATATTATAATTCACAAAATAAAATTTAAAAAGGAACAATGAATTTAGAGAACTTGATATACAGTCTGTATTATACGGTACTTGATATCACCTTGCAATATTAATCGATACTGTTTCAAACTGACCTAAACTTAAGGACATACAATGCAAATGAGCACAAGTTTCCTCGTTCATCGTGTTAACACTCGAAATTCTCTCGGTTGACCACGCATCGGAATCAATCGCATTACCAACAAACTATGTAATATTCCAAACCGAAGAAAGTGCCAATTTGTAAATACAGTATCTCCTTGCCACTGTAGCAGAAGAATAATGATATTTATATTGCGTAACGAGCATTCTGTTGCATTGCACATTTTTATTCTGTTCGCAATAGTGCTTGCATCAAGCAGGTCTCAAGATACATATAATTTTTTCCAAAGAATATTCGAGACAGACACCCTGCTAATAATGGATATCGGAGGATTGCAGAGTACAAATTCCATTAATGTCCTGCACCAATATATATTTTGTGCTCGAGATATATAGTTAGAGTGAAAAGGGCTTTGTTTGGAATGGTTTGAAAACTTTCATCGTTTCCATTAGTTCGTTAAATGATATTTTTATACATATAATTTATTTTTATACAGATTATATTTATTTTATATCAGTAGGGAAGCTTTGCAAATGTACAAGAAATCGATATCAAAACTTTGGAGCCTCAAAAAAAAAAAACATCAATCTATTTTAAATGTTTTGAAATTAATTAATGCTTTTACAACTACAAAGTTTGGTCTTTCAATTTGACAAAAAAATCTTCCAATGATTGACAAACATATTTAGATGAATTTTTGTAGTGTTATATACAAATAATGAATAATAATAAGTAAAATAAAATTGAATCTCTCGAAGAAGCTTTAATTGCGCCACTTTTACGTTGGCCTTACTTTTTTTTTTATTGAAGAATGCGCGTATAATTATAAATGTAGTAATTCTTGTTTACTATTTACCTTCCTTTTATATGCATTCCTTTTATTAAATTTGTATTACTGATCAAATGTATCTTCCGCATGATACAATACAGAGTAAATATTATACACAAGATATAAGTAGAAATGAGCAGTACGTATGTAATATGCACACCAAAGGACATTTTTATAAGTGCAGAATAGTTATGGTTTACAAGTGTGAATCTGTAACAATCATATATACACAAAGAAATTAGAAAAAAAATAATTGTACAAAAAAGTTATCATTTCGTTGAAAGTATAGCGTGTAAGGTTTTCCCAAATTTTGTTAAATTTTATTTATTTAAATATTTATATTAGCAACGGAAAGTTTTCAATCCAATGCAAGCAGTAGCGAACTATTTTTCCCAAGTAAACTGTCACGGATATCTAAACACTAGAAAAGGGAAGTACAAGAATGTCAGCTGTTAAAGAAAAGTCTTCCCCCCCCCCCTCCAAATAAAAAAAAGAGAAAAAAGGATGGAAAAAGTAAAAGCATAGTTCATTTAGAACAGTACAAACGAGATAATGACAGAGAACTAATTTCAAAGTGAAATTATATTAAACGAGATCGTTGAAAGGTCGTAAGGTCCATGTCGATATAGTATTTTTAATAATAAGAAGCGATCGAAAGCTGTTAATGCCGATTATATTAAAGTAGAAGGATCTATCGCTCTCAGGCAGATGTTTTATATAAGCTATTTTTAGTAACGTTTAGTGCACCCTTTCCGATGGGTAGTCAATGCGAGAAACGCGCCATGTAAGATGTCTAAATAGACTCGAGTCAAGTTTCTTCCTTTCGATATCGTAGACCGAGAAAGTTCAGATACATGCTGCGAGGAAAAAGGAAAAAGAAAATTACGTCCACGTGCTTTACAAAATGTTCTCTTAATCGATTCAACACAAAAAGTGTTCGACTCTTATTCCCAATCGGTGGTGAACCAATTAGAAATTAGACGATTCGTACGAATCGTTCGTCGTCGAGGAATTTAACTCTTTGCTGTCGAAACACGGGATAAAAATTATTTAAACAGCGAAGTGCTTATCTTAGGAGCAGGGCCGGCGCAAGGCAGGTTCAGCGCGTTCGCCGGAACCCGGTCCCGTGTTTTGAGGGGCCCCGCGGTCTACGAAAATGTTAATTAACTTTTTACGGAATGATGATACCATTAACAGATGCAAGAAATTTTTTTATTAGCGATGATTCAGTTTAAAGGAGTGACAAAAATCATCAAAGTATTATTATTTAATATTCATCTTATAAAAAATATATAGCATTTGTAAATAAATAATTCCGCGTTGCAAAATTTAAGTGTAGGATTTGAATGTGAATTCAGGCCCCGCAAAAGGTCACGCCGGCCCTGCTTAGGAGTCGCAACAACGTGACGGGAAAGTACCAACATTTTCCAAATTTATTTCTCCTTAGAATATTTCGATACCGTTCTTCCAAATTCAGCTAATAAATTCAACTGATAATAGTCCGAGAGCCTGCGACATAAAATTTCGGCCAATTTCATTACAAATATCCTTTAGCTATTTGACTGTGTTCTACTAAAGAATAAAAATAATTCAAGACTGGCAAAGCACAAACGGTGCATCGCTCCCTTAAAAAGTCGGAAACATGTAAGAAATAACAGTATCTTTGACTGAAATTATTATTACTGACATTTTTAGAATGTATCGTTGACATACGAAATTGCATAAAAAAGTTGATCTGGCAGATTATAAGCGGTGCTAAACGGGTGCTAATGATTTTAGTCAAACTATTAGGTCGTCCCATAAGTTCGTACCGAAGACTGTGTCGAAATTTAATAAAAAACCACAGAAATTTTCTAATAACGGTATAATGAGTATCTGAGAGAGGTGAGAAACTATTGTGAAATGAGACAGATTATCTTTTCTTGTGATACTTGAGAGTACGTTTCACACATTAATTTGAAAAATAAAAGTATAAACGTTTTTCCAACAAGGTTTTCCGACTGCCAGACCCATTTAGCATCGCTTACAATCTGCCAGACCAACTTTTTCATTCAATTTGGTATGTCAACAATACACACTAAAAATTTCAGTAGTAATGATTTTGGCCAAAAATCAAATTATTATAAAACGCCATAGCGAAGCGTTGCACCATTGAATTCATGCCAGACCAAGCATTTCTGAACTAGGGTGACATACCATCTTAGGAAAACAGGTTCATTTGTGTAATGAAATGAGCCACCCATTTCTGTCGCGGGCTCTCGGACTATAAACTTTATAATACGGAACATGGAATCAAGGCAATTGGCAGATGGTACAAAATTATTACAGGAGACTGCGAAACTGTAGTATTGGCACTCGTTGAACAAATGTCGACTAGCTTTGCTTTTCGTCACATAGATGGCAATTGTAGTCGATTCTACTACCCACCGTTCGACTATAGTTGGCGCTAATGTTGAAAAGAATAAAATATCTAATTCCATGATAGTACATAATATGCACACGACCTAACGATATAAACTCTTTCTAATGAAATTTATTCGTTTTCTAAATTAATTAACTAAATTCGTGCTACTCGAAAATAATTTCGATCAGTACGACTATCATGCTTGGAACAAATGCGACCGCAAAGAGTTGAAAACTTAGATAGTTCGTATATAGTCCTCGGATATTCGAGGATGATCGAAAGTTCGTGGATTTCGTGAAAACGTCACGAATTGCTCGAATTTTTCTAAATACTATTCGGCCCAAAAATTGTCCCATTGTTCGTGCTCTCTGTTATATAGTGGACGTTGAGATCCCAGTTCCTTTCTTTTGAGAAAATGTGATCGCAATGGTAAAGAAAACGTTTTCGTTTCGAAAGTTTCATTGGTAAACCTGATTAAAATATATACTCTTGATCACGTTTGCCGCAACTCGGTCGACTCTTTGCATATTTTGTATATTTATATTTCACTTGATCAAACTGTAATAATAGATAGTTTTACTTGAGATTAGTGATATTTTAGTATTCTACGCAAATTTATCTATGTAGAAAAATTGTGATTCGCGACGCCATTGATATTCATGTTCACGTAACGGTCACAATTTTTTTCTTTTTCACAAAAAATATTCTTTGAGAATTACGGATACTAGTCCGTGAGGGATAACAAATTGAACTATTTTTTAAACAAATAGACATTGCATACCGACAACAAAAGAAATATGACTCGCGAGAATAATGATTATCGGCTGGCAGTTAATTTTTGCAATCGCTACTTTCTTCTCTGTTTTATTAAAATCGAACAAGTATAAATAATCACGCTTCTAAGAAACGATTATACGGTGGATTATACGGTGGATTCTAATCGAAGTATGAAATTCGAAAAATCTGTCTTCGCTATATATATTTATTTCGCATCAATATTTTTACTCACGCTTGGATGATAATTCACGAGAAACTTTTTTTTATTCTATTCTCGAGTTTTTCGAGAATTGCACTCGCGTAATAATGCTACGAACTACTATCGAGTAGTACCAAAAACAAACAAAAAAATGAACAAAATGAAAACAAAGAGGAACGATACCTCGTCGTTTGAGCCTATTGCTAAGCGAATCGCGATTTGTGTCGCAATTTTCTTCGATTGATTGCTCTAAGGCGTTTGTTTTATTGTATCACTTTACCGACTGTTAATCTATTAACACGTTGACTGCCACCACACTAATACTCTTTAAAACTTTCTACTGCGATTAAATTTTATTTACTGACCATTGGAGACTACATAATCAAACATTTATTGTGGTATTTACTTTTGTAACTTCACCGAAATTCAAATATTTCATATAAATTCGTTTTCTTTGATATTTAAGTTTCAAAATTAATTTTTTTATTTCTTCAGTAAACAGCACTGTCACCCATATATGGGTGACATGGCGGTCGACGTGTTAATAGATGACTCGTCTCGAACACTTGCCGACTGGTAGTCTATTAATAGGCTTGTTGTTTGCCGACAATTATCAATGACAGTCTATTAATCGTCTTTTGGCTTCGACATTTATGAATTGGTTTTTATGGTAACCAATAAATTTTGTTAAAATTGTATTAAATTTAATGATGAATTTTAGTATTCGCGCGTGACAGTCTTAACCAAACCGAAGCCTATGTCCATACTATTAGTCGGTATAGTGATATGTTATTCTTCCCGATGAAACGTTTCACTAATATTTTACTAACGAAATGAGAATATTTTATTAACCAGAGGAAACGATTGTAACGATACAGAAACCTCATGTTTCTGATAGATAATGTGTGTGTTAACAAAACGCGTTAATACTCGCTATTTTTGGCTTTCGAAACTAACAAAATCGGTAGCGTTAATTGTTTATATTTAAATTCTTCTCTCGTAACCAAAGATCTCTCGATCTGAAACGTGTTAGCACGAATGTCATTTTGTATTCGACTGTCGATAGTGTTCTAAACTAAATTTTCATTTGGAATTTGATATGGCATTTATTTAAACTATTTTCATCAGTTGTCATTTTGAATAGAAAGGTGAAAAAGAACACGAAGGTAATATGCGTTTACTTTTTATATTTGTTAGGATATATGGATTTTTAAAAAGTTTAAATGCAGTTTGAATCATTCTAAAACATTATTCAATTTCAAACAATTCAATTTTATTGTTAAACGTATTTCAAACATGTACTAACATACGTTTAGTTTATGTAGTAGTTAAATATGCATTTTTACTTGCATTTCTTCACAAAGATTCTCACGTTTTTCATTGGAAATACCCAATAGTCGACTTACAATTTCCTTAGTTTATTTCTTTATTTAATATTTGTTTGAACTTACACTTTTGAATTGTGTCGTTAAATCGAATAAAATGATGATATTCGTGACAATGCCTTTCGCGTACCTTCCTACTTTTTTCAATTTGCAATGACGAATATATTGCAGCTCATTATACATATATCGAAGAGGCAACATACTACGTAATTTACCGTTAACTGTACAAATATCCATCTACGGACAATTATTTCATAGTTTTCCAGAAACAGCTGAACTTTCGTTAATTAATTTAACACTAAACCTACCACAGCTGGTCAAACGACCATTCTCAAACTTTTCTATACTGTTTCGTATGTACAATATATACATTATATACAATGGCTTCATGTATTATTCAATTTAATACCACGTGAAATATTGTTGCATCCAATTTAAAAAAGTGTCTTCGAGACTAGTTATTAGCAAATAAAGTGTCAGTAGGTTTAGTGTTAAATGTCAATTAATAATTACTTTAAATCTCTTATTATTTAGCGCGCAGTCTGTGATTCGAATTAATTCTTGGACTGCGAACATAGCAAATACAATTACACAGACCTATGTGTGTGTGTGTATAATACGATCATTTCTTATTTCTAATTAAACAAACTTCAAAAGGATCAATTTTATTTTCAATACTAAAGGGAATAATATGTAACATACACGTCAGACATGCTAAAAATAACTCGACAATTATTTAAAGGCAAACAACATCCAAACGTTAATTAATTATTTTTAAATAATTGTACATATTATTAAATAATGTTTAACGTTTCCCAATGACCGTCGAATTGATCCAGGTGGATTAATTTCCTCGTTACATTCCACGATTCTTTATTTCCGATGCATTTTGTTTTATTCGCTGTCTTCGATATACAACAAATATCGACGATTCACCGTCTGTTTCGTAACTAAGAAAATTCTAAATTCTGTGATCGGCATCGGCGAATGATCGCTAAGGAAACTCCTGCGTCGCGAATTCGAATATTCGGTTTGCAGACTTATTCGTGGATGGGCAGAAATTTTATTCGATTAATACATGACGAATAAAAACGACTATGTATAAACGATTTATTCGACTGACATCCTATTTTTAATTGCATTTGGTAATTATAATCAAGCAAACAAGGAACAAATGTTCATCTTCCATTTGTTATTTGAATTTTTTCGTCAAAACTAAAAATTCTGTCCATCCCTGCTCCTGTTTGAGCTTCGTACTCGTGTGGAGTGCCATATACACGCAATCGAGAGTACCTTTCTGAAGCAGAGATATGTAATATATTGCGTTTTATTATATTTTACGTTATTATATATATTATTATCACTTTTATTGCTGCTATTGTATTATTATATTAAGACGACAATTATACCAGGCATTGCATCGTTTTTTAATCCTCCATTCATAAAACCGTGAAAGGAACCTCGATCGAGAACTGCCTCTCGATCCCTGATCACTGTGTAAAATATGCACTCGTACAAAATTGGGGGACCGTTTTGTCGTTGTTCAGGCGGCGATGTTGTTTACGTTAAGCGAGCGAACTTTGGTTGAGATTCGGTTCTTGTGAGGTGTACTCAAAGTTGAGAAACAATTTTATTTAAATAATACATTAAAAATAAAAGTAAACATTTTTATTCTAATTACACGAGGTTGAGAGAATCCAAAAGTCAAAATACATAATTGGTAACTCAAAACTTAAAATTATATTCTAATTGCTAACCAAAGAAAAAGGAAAGAGATGTATATGCGAATTTGAAAGCGACCAATAAAGATTCTTATACCAGTCAAGGAATAAAATAATCTCAGATTCTGAAAGTAAACAATGTAATTATTCAGTAAAATTCTGAGTTCTGTCGTTGAGTGAACAATGCCAATGGTTAATAAACAACCAAAACAAAAATCATATCTTTTAGTCGACCTTACAAGAACCCATGAGTGCGCCACCGTTAAACCAAATTCGAAATTGCGAATCTTCGTGATTCTCGTAGCTATATAATTCTTACTCTGTATTTATCTGTACACATGCGACGATCTTCAACAAACAAGAACACACCCGCGAAACCTGACCAAAAAATTAAACGAAATTTAGGGGGCAAAAAAAAAAGAAAACGTGAACCGTAAAACGAGGGAAAACGGAGAGGGAGAGAGATGTTCAAAATTCTAGTTAGAAATTCAAAATTTACCCAAGCGTCTAGGAAAGAATGAATTTAGTCTTTTGTAAACGACGAACACGAGAATATATTGTATATTTTGAGAACTACTATGCTAGAGGTGTCTGAACGCGTAGATAGAGGACAATATTAACGATTGTGTCATACTCTACTCTAATTGAAAGTAATGAAATACACGAACACACATACACCACTCAATGTGAATTAGTGCATATTTTTAATAAATGGATCATAAAATTGAGGAAACCCCGTTGCTCCTGATTGCGAGTTACTATTGTGATTTATAGTTTTCAGTTACTCTTAGATGGTGTCCTCAATCATCGTGAACAACCTGGCACTATGGTAATGCATACAAATAAATTTCTCGCCCCAATTTAATTTTGGTATCAGGAGAACATGATATGCGAAGAGGTGCGCCTACGAGCAGGCAACCAGCCCGACATGTCTGTAAGTATAGGTTATTGCTCCCCCACATTTCCTGGTTTATTCCCCTTTAGTTTCCGTCCATTCCCTGGTATATTTCCCTTTAATTTTCCTCCATTACCTTATACATTTCCCTTTAATATTCCTCCACTTCCTGGTATATTTCCCTCTAATTTTCCTCCATTACCTTATACATTTCCCTACAGTTTCTCCTCATTTCTGTGATATTTCCCTATAATTTCCCTATATTTCCCTATAATTTCGCCTCATATCTGCGATACTTTCTGGTTCAACAATGTTTAAAAGGCTACACACAAAATTTCAACAATGTTGCAAGTTTAATAATGTGCAAATCGCTTCTCTCGAGACTTCAACAATGTTGCAAAACGCTCCCGCAAGAATTCAACAAAGTAGCAAGTTCAACAATGTTGCAAATCGCTTCTCTCGGAACTACAACAGTGTCGAAGTTCAACAATGTTGCAAATCGTTTCTCCCGAAACTTCCACAATGTTGCAAACCCAACAATGTTGCAAATCACTCCCCGCAGAACCCGACAATGTTGCAAATCGCTCTCCGCAGAATTCAACTATGTTGCAAATCGCTCCCCGCTCGAAATTGTGATGGGAAATGTCGGATTTTTACTCCTGGTAACAGGAGAACATGATATGCGAAGAAGTGGCACGTTTGCGCCTACGGACAAGCAACCAGCCCGACTTACCTGTTAGTGTAGGTTGCCTAATTCAAGGGGCACCTTTTCGGTACATATTGGAATTCTGGCCAATTTGGAACTTGGGTATCAGGAGCACATGATATGCGAGGAGGTGGCGACGGCATGAAGGGAAATTGGAGCGAAATGTGGCAGGAAATTAAGGGAAATTAATGGGAAATGTGCTAGGAAATAATTAGAAATTAAAGGGGAATCTCAGATGATGTTAGAAGTTATTCGGGGTTATTAAAGGGTGTTAGGGGGTGTTTTGAGATGTTTGTAGGTGTTAAGGGGTGTGTGGAAGTGTCAGCAGGTGTCAGTTGTTACGAGATGTTGGAAGGTTTTGGGTGTCAGGATTTGTTTGGTGTCAGGAAGTGTTAGAAGATGGGAAGTTGTTAGGATATGCTAAACTGTGTTTAGGAGGTGCCAAGCGATGTCAGGAATTGTTAGATGTTAGGTGCCCCTGTTATACTCCAAGCAGGTACTATCTTGTTTATCGTGCCCGATTTCACAGCTACTATGTTGGATAAAATAATACTTGAAAAACTAATTGCAACTGTAATTGTATCAATTACCGCTTCTTTTTATTAAAAATCATAATCAAATAATAATTTAAGACTTTTATTATAGAAAATATATCGTTATTAATACTTTTTGTATTTGAGTTTTATTAGTTTGACTAGTACAGTTGAGAAAGAACAATCTTAAAATTCGTAAAAACCAAAGTTGCATTTTGTCCATAAGAATAAATTTGTAATTTTCAATCTTCATTCGAAATGCAATTTCTTTAACATTAGGGCCAATCTGACCCCCACCTTTAACAATAACCGGGAGTAAAGGTAAATAAAATAAAAAAGAAGAGGACTGGGCAACGCTTCACGCTTACGTTTTTATTGTAATAGATTGTATTGAAATTTGTCGCATTCTTTTGAAAACAAAAAGAAAAGTGTTGCGAGGGTTTCGTCGCGCCCCGTTTCGCGGCACGCTCCGATTTCTCATTATCGCGTATTTATCGTCGTTCTTTCCTCCGTTTTATTACTATTATTACTATTATTACTATTATTCTGTTTTTTGTTTCCGTTCATTTCAATGCACAAGTTGTTCGAAGGTTCGTGACATATACAGTGTGTGTTTCGTAAGCCAGGCGGATTGGCATATAACAAAATTCGACATAGACTACAACAACAACAACACTCTTACTAGAACGCTCGGTCGTCGCACATATTCTTCGCGTTGTTCCCCATTCACGCACGAGAATTACAATCTACAGGCTCTATCACGAGGGATATACAAGACGTAGGGTTCTTTTTTTTTCTTCTCACGTATTCGACTTCGGTTTTCGTTCTATTTTCATTCATTTCTCATGTTCGATATAATTATACATCTCGTGATTTCCTTTTACCCACGCACACTCTTTCTTTCACTCGCTCTTTCTTTCATAATTCTATGTACAATTAGATTCCCTTACGATTCATTTAGGATGTTAGTAAATAATAGTTAGCATCGTACGTCTACGCTGTAAACAGTTTAACAGTTTTCTTGCTTAAACGCTATAGTGCCAAGTAATTTAATTAATTACTTATATCACATTGTTCATGTACACATAATATTTCCCCGCGCGTTCTCCGTTACTTTCTGCCTCCCGTCGACCGACGATCACTATGTACAAAAAAAAAAAAGGAAATGATATTTTCATCGCTTTTCCCCTCTCGGTAATCGTTACTTGTACAGGTCGCGCGCGAGAAGATATCTACAAACTCCTCCCACTAGTATCGCAGCCAATCGCCTTCAAGGAAGTCAATGAGATATTTTTCTCTCACTCTAGACACAAATAACATGTCGCGTGCGAGTTTCCTGCCAGATACATCTTTTACTTTCTATTCCGAAAAGCGATATTACAGCTTGGTAAATATGTCAAAATAATAAATAGAGTTAATTTTTCCACTGTTTTCTTTCGTTTAGCAATACCTTGGTATCTAACATTAGCTAAAATTACTTTAGATATCGCTTTCGGAATATTAAATGGCAAATGTATCTGTCTGAAAACTTATGCACGCCACTGTATGTCTCACTAGGGCCGAGAGGGTTAAAATGTTCGCCGTGACTCGTCCCGTGGGAGGAGTTAATAGCAATCTTCTCGCGTGCTAACAGTACTTGCCACTCAACAGCAAAATACAATGTTCCATTTCGATTCGTTCTGATGCCAGCTTCCCTTCATTGATCTCTAATTGATCTCGCTGAAGGCTTGGCGAGTAATCGTCAACCAGAATTGAACAATAACTATTTCTCTAATGAACGCAGTTGACGAATTAAAGGGGTATCCTGAATTAGGAGGTCTAAAAAAAAAAGCGGTTTCCCGTGAATTTTTTTAGGATGGAAAAAATTAAATAATTCCATCGAACTTTTTATCCTATTTTCATACATATTTGAGTAGTCTGTACAAATTTTTTCAAGAAACAATATTCAACTTGAATCGACTGCTATGCATATTTGTAAAGCACCTAGAAGAAAAATGTATGAAAATGAAAATTTCTTTTGGTTTTTTGTGTCAAACCAAAATTACGACCTGCATTTTTCCCCCTGATAGGAGGTTTTATTTGTGAGGTGGTCTACAAATGTGCGTCACAGTCGACTCAATTTGAATATTTCTTGCTGACAACATTTCTACAGACTACTCAAATATGTATGAAAATAGAATAAAAACGATCGATGGAATGAATTATTTTGTTTCCATCCTAAAAAAATTCACGAAAAAATTCACCGCTTTTCTTAAACCTCCTAATTCAGGATACCCCCTTAAGTTTAAATCTAGAATGGAATCTCGACTGACTCCCACGCATTTCTAGAGAATTCTTAGAGAATTCAAGAATGGATCGTTTCAAGCTAACATATAACAAACAGAATCCATGTACACTGGTTAAAACTATTCGATTGAATAATTACGTATAACTAGTAATATTATAATTATTATGTTATTATAATCAATTATAGACTTCCACCTCAGGGTCTATAGCTATGTGTGATTGTAGCTACAGTTTATAGCTACAGCTAAAACTTTAACAAACTGAAGGGTATTGTGATCCTAAATATCAGTAATTTTTATATATTTTAGGTTGTCCCAAAAGTTTCTTTCGTAATTTGCACTCAATTATTTTGTGTGGCAATGTTTCTATAAATAGACAATTTAATTTCTTAGACATTGATGCTGTAACAGTCATGGAGCGAAATGAATCGTACACAATTCAGTAATGTAACATAAAACATACAATATTGTGTATATATTAATTAATTATTAATAAAACGAAAAAAACTTTTGGGATAACCTAATAAAAGGAAATGAAAACATGTATATATCAAATCCTTCGTGAGTTTAAAATAAATAAAGTATCGATAGGTCTAGAAATGCGTAGGGTCAATCGAGACCCCAGAAGTCCTAGGATTAACAGCGTTAAAAGTTTCTTTTGAAATAAATTAGAATCGCGATCACCCGCTCTGCATTCAGCAAACAAACTGACGATCCTCATTTTCTGCGCTTTTGCCTATTTGTCCCGAGTTGTGCAGCTTCAGAATGCCCCCAACATCTAGTACGACTATTTACATCCATTGCACGACTTCACACGATCGGATTAAAACGAAGGTGCCGCATTTACAGGTCCAGAGATCGGGCGGATCTGTTCAGTCACGGTTAACCAGAGATTGGCAAAATTATTTCATTCGAATAACAGATGACGAATAGATAAAGTAATAAACAGCGTGTTGTTCGTGTCATTTATTCGATAAAACAATTAAATTTCTTATTTATTCATTATAAAATCGTTTCCTTCGAGAATTCAAACTCGAGCAAATAACTAATGAAACCAATGTATCCTTTTATTCCTTTACTGTGAAATATTCTAAAGTTCACGAATCAATTTGTATTTTCATTTAACAAACAACGAATAGACAGGTGTTTATATCTTGTATTCGTTATCCTAACTTTTATTCGACTAAGAATATTGCCTCATCTCTGTTAATTGTAGAAAGTTCTGCGTTGCACAGAATTTGAATTTTTCTCACGCAGTTCACCACCATTTCTACTAAGAAATTCAAATTTCACGTCACTTTAGAGATCGTGGATTGGAAATACATTCCTTCGAAAGACACGTTTAATTTACAGAAATCTCGACGTTCACCGCAATGGACGATGAATTTATATATCCGACTCTTTTGAGCCTGTTCAAAGAAAAATACGTTCGGATATGTTTGCGAATGTCGACACTGATTTGACTCGACGCAAAAGAAAAATATAATAGAAAACATACAAAGGACGCGCGAGCTGAGAGACAATATTTATCTTCGATGGGAATATCGAATGAAATTTTAGAAGCTTTCGAAAAAGTCACCTTGGCTATAAGATTATGCATGACAGTTTTATTCGAACAACGAATAAAAAGGTGTCCACAGTAATATATTCAGAATATAAATCGAACGTATAATTTAGATTGTCAGTTTTATATTTGGTATGATAATAATCTTGACAAGCTTGATACCAAATATATTTTCAATTTTTATCGAATAAATAATAAGTCAAAAGTGTTTCATCTGTTGTGTTATTCGAAACGTTTCATATTTGCCCATCTCTGGGGTATCCAATTCCTCAAAGGAATTTTCCTTTTAAATAAATAGTCTTTCGTTTACTACTTTGAGGGCAAACAAAAATATTTCCTTTCGATAAAATTGATTTCTATTTATTGCTCCAAAGACCAACAAGTTTTGTTTATCTTTCGTTCATTACTTCAAATTTTGATCTATACTAGAATTTTGATCTATACTAGAATTGTTAAACTAACAATTTTTCAATTACCGTAGCAAGTTCGCAAGTAACAAATATTTGAGTTTAATTTCACAAATAAACAAAACCTATGGAACCAAAAATTTAGCTCGAGGGATCGTCTCTGTGTTCGACTGCCCTCCCAAAAAGATGCCTGTACGTGTTTAATTCGATCGAATATGTTGCAATAAAATACTGCTTCGACGTCCAATGAAGTCCTACTGATTCAGTAGTGATGTTATCCGAGATCTCTACTAATTTAGTAGCAATATCGTCGTTAAACGTAATTGTTTATCGTGCTGGACTGATTTCACGTGAAACCTACACAGTAGCTTTCTATAAACCGTACTTTGTTGGGAACATGTGCGAACGGATGAAGACAATTGTATACTTTTCAGTGCTCGTGGCGTTCGTTGCAAGAATGAATTCCAGTTGTTGTTAGATTAAAGAAAGATACATCTATTCAACTGGAATAGATTCTCTCACCAAAAAAAGCGTCTAATTATGGGCTCGATACACTGCTCAAAATAATGAGACCACCTACTCGTGTTACATGATCCCTTGGTAAAGTAATCAATACTTCGAAGTTAGACTCAGTCGAGTTCGATAAAAAATATTTACTATATTAAATACATAGTATTTCCTTCATTCCCGATATACTTAACTCTAGAGAACGAACTCTAAAATTGTCCAGAAAACCCAATGCCCTGATTATATCGAGCAGTGGTACTCATCTACGTAGAATAAAAAAAAAAACGAACGCATCGAGGACATTGGTAGGTCGGTAGAAGCCAAGATGACTTTTTCAACAGCCCTGTCGATACAAAAAAGTCTCTAAACTTCCCTGGAAAACGGTATTGCTCTCAGCCAACCATTAACTTAATAAATCCTTCAACGAATTTGTTTGATAGACCTAGAGACACAGCGCCCCACGCATATTACATACTTACATAATCAGCTTAACTGACTGACCAAGCCTTTGATTAAATAATTTAAAAAATAAAAAAAAACAAGATATATATATATGTATATATATATATATATATGTATATGTGTGTGTTTGTGTATACGCAGATACAAGTAATAATAATACTAGTGTACAAATAGTGATATCTGAAAGAGACCGTTAACAGTCACATCCACACTCACACGCACACGCGCCTATAAAAAAAAAACTTAGAACGCTCGCATCGCGGATATTAAGCATCTTTACACTTTGTCTAGTGAATTCCGAATAAAACGAGAAAGTCTGCATGCTGCATGTTGCATTTTCATTTAAAATTTAATTAAATTTACGCTTGAATTCAGATCAACATTAATCATTTCATATTTATTTACGAAAGAGGACCCCCGATTAAATGCTCGTAAGAAGTTCTAATTTCATTTCAAATTAGATTTACATCCCACAGTAATCGTCAAGTAGAAATTGAAAACGTTATTCAATTTACAGAAGTACGCGAGTAATTTAAAAAAAAAAAAAAAAAAAAAAAAAAAAAATTACAAATTTTCAATCCGTGAGAGTGAACTTACTTCGTACTTCTGTTATCGATTTTTTTCCCTCTTACAAAAGATACGAGATGCAGCAACGTTATCTCACGTTAATGTTAATCCCGTGCAAAGCTTGTTCTATTTAGACAAATAAAGAATTCGATAATGGTTATTCGCCATGCCGTTGCATTCTATTAGTTAAACTATTTAAGCTGAACAATCACCGTTAACGGTCTCGCATCGAGTATATCAAATGAAAGCACGAAAAACTTAATGTTGCGGTATAAAACATAAATTTTGTTTACCTAAGGGTAGAAAGCAATTTAAAATAGTACGGTTTTAACGGTTCACGTGTTTACAAGTAGTTCCGGTTGTTTTCACCTGTAAACGCGATACTGATTACTAGACTGCGGATATTCATGCAAATTCATACTTTTTAAAGACACAGACAAATAATTTAAGATTAAATTAAAGTTTGTTTTATCTTCTAAACAGTGTATCGTGTATATTATTGTTGACGTTTTATATACTTTGGCATTTGATGAAAATTTTCATAGATTTCCCCATATTTTACATCTGTCATAAATGCATCAACATCTGCAGTCTACTGATAACACTAGCAGCAATTATTATGCAAGATAATATGTCGTCTGTGATCTTGACGAGAGTCGTGTGTTACGTACACATTTGTTTCCATGGTCGGAAAATGAACTACCACTAAAACGTACCCGTAAACAACGTTGATCGTGTAATGTTTTCGCGTTACAGCTGATCGTTATTGAAATTAACCCCGATAAAAGGTATCAAAATTAATTAAAGAAGCCAAAACGAACTGTACCAATGCTCAATTAAGTTCGTAGAATAAATATAAGCGAATAAATACTTGAGCACATACAAACATACACCGTGTGTATTCCTTCGCGTGTATGCTTTCGGGCACGACGTAACTTGAATTCATGTTTCGTTTTTTCTTTTTCTTTACCATCTAATTTTCGAAAGTAAACGTAGGCGTTAATGATAAAGTTCATCGATAATTGTATCTCCACAGCCACTATTCATGATAATTTAAAAAGCACAAGCATGTAATCATCATCATCCATCCGATTTCAAGATTTCGATCAATTTCAAAGCATTTAAACCAATCTTATATCATACAAATTCTTTAATTTAACATCACTCTAAACACAGTCGGTTTTTCATTTTTTTTTTTTTTTCAAAATGATTTCCACGTAACTTTTGCCGAACTTCCCCAATTGCGACAAGGTACCAAAGAAATATAACGGATGAGCTTCATACTCTGCAGTCAAGCAATTTAAAATAATCATGCAAACAAGATTATGTCGCGAGTCATGTTTTCTTTCTCGTCTAAATAATATTATTATAAAACATATAAGGACCTTACCTGAAACAACGACTGAACAAAAGCTTGGACAAATTTATAAGTTAACGAAATCTGTTAACTCACGTCTCCCATACTGAGGTGAAAAGTCATACAATTCGAACGACAAAAATTATTAATCGATTTGTTGAAATTTTGAATATACAGCAAGTCCTCTACTTAGGAAAATTGTAGATACCAATGTTCTCCTTACGTCATACAAAAACAACAAAATTTACTTTGTTTAGCGAAAGTCGAATGCGAGGTGTTCTACAAAGTTTCGTGGCTGATTTGTTAACCCTTTGAGTGTTTAATACTCTTGGCCAAAGCAATCCGGTTGTGGTCACTGCGGACGGAATTATTTTATTAAAAACATTGATGAGTAAAACATATGTTAACTTGAGAATCAATGAATTTAAATACCCGAACTTAAGAAATATAACAACAAAATATGGAAAACTATAACACTCAAAGGGTTAGTAAGCTACATTAGTAAAATGTAAATATTTTATTACGAATTTTATTTGGCAAGTTTAACAGGCATTCGCCAGAGACAACAGTGAGGTGCTCAACAATTGTCTCTGCTGAGTGTACCTATAGCGTCGGTCCCCTAAACGAAACTGCAATGTTGCTAAACTTCATAGGGACTAGCTCAACATGCTAATATGCATACGCAATAGAACTTACACTTAAAGCTTCCAAATGAAATTAACCATGTAAGTCAAGGACTCACTGTACAAATCTGACATTCGCTTGTAAACAAAGGATCAAATCGCCCCCCCCCCCCTCCCAAATAGCCTTGTTGCATCATTTTCGTACCAATACCACGCGGTAAGTACTTGTTCGGAGTATTCAAGGTACCATGCGCAATCGCGCAAGTCGAGCAACGGCCTTTCTCATAAACACCCTCTCAGTCGGTGTACTCTTTGGAAGAGCGTAAAAACATCGAATTTAAACACGAAGGAACGCAAGTTTAATGTTCAAAAATAGAAAACTTTCCTTCGACGTCGGGAACACCGCGACGGGCACAGCCCCTCCGTCTTCCAGGACCTCTGCGATCGCGTTCAGCCCGACGGTCGACGTCACGTCATCGTGAGCGGTCGATGGTGTCGAACAACAGCGAAACGTGGATTCCAGCCTATGGCGATCTCTGGCAGCCGGTGCTTCGGTGCATCGATACGACCCGGCCGTTTCTCAAACTAGTTTCAGTTTCCTTTGATTTGTCAGACGGTCGTGTGAGTGGTCGAGGATGGTTGCGTGCTGGAGGCCGTCGTCGACTGCGCCGTGGACGTTGACGGTGAACTTACGACGACGACGGGCTTCACCAGGGTGGTGGTGTTAATGTACTGCGCGTTCACGATCGGCATCTGCGCCACGGACTTGAGGATCGGTGTCGTGATCATTTTACCCGCGAGGCTGGAGGGCGCCAGAATGTGAGCGGTCACTTGGTTCCCTTGCGAGACGACAGTCATAGGTGTGACGATAGGCGTCAGGCCCGAGAGGGGTGTGTGTGGACCAACGATGTGAGCTATACCCTCTGTGGACGGAGCGTTCTGCATCACGGTCGAACCCGGTTTGCCCGTTGCAGTCTGGAGTGATACGCTTGCGTGGCTCAGTGTCAAACCTGAAAGCAAATAAGAAGCGTGTCAATTGAAGAGAATAGGTAAAATGTTTGGAACGAATGATAAGTTAATGACGTGTCAGTCATTTTCAAAACGACGCGCACATGGTTATACACACGAGCCGCTCTGCAAATGAATAGTTTACTTTGGCACCATTTCATTACAAAATCGCAACAGTACGATTTCGGCCTTGGTATATGATGCGCTCTAATTTTACACTATTTCTAAAGACAAAATTACACATCATTAATATTGGGTTGTCCGGAAAGTTCATGCCTATTTTTAAGAAAAATTCAAAGGCATATTTGAATTTTGATGTATATTTATTGAATTATATATGTACCATTTTGTTCCACAACCTTTCCACCTGTTAAGGAATGTACACATTTTATTTGTTTTCAGCCTTTCCGATATATTCAGACCTGTACCGCCTACTAAAAAAAATCGGCATGGACTTTCCAGACAGCCCAATAATAACGGCCTACTGGCTAGAACAGAGATGAGAATCGAACGAGAGTGAAAGTAATGTGTACCATTTGCTGGGAGTATGTTCAATTCAGCGCCACCCGGAAGTCTGGTTAGCTCAGATGCATTTCCACCGACCAATGCCACACCGCCAACCATTTTATGGGTGGTCTGCGTGTCTCCCGCTCTTATTCTTGTTTGAGCGTCTGTAACACAATTCAGAATCGCTATATCAATAATGGGTGCATTCCAGAGTGAAATTCATCTGAAACAGCGCTTGCGATTGTGGAGCAGAATCGCAAGGTTTTAAATCATATTATTGTGCGCTGTTCATTAAGTAAGTACAAAACAGTAGTCTCAAGATAACCCATGGGCAAAACTTTTGTCTAATAACTGGGGCAAGGCGAAAGACTATGTGGTAAGCTAGAATTATAGAATTTGTAGAAGAAAAAGACAGTAAACGTTATCAGATTTCCCGCTCATAATGAAATAATTTGACGTGTATTGCGCGTTTAATATTTTATTATTTTTATTAAAAGTAAATTATGTATATTTTTTAAACATGAATAAATAATTGTGCAATATCCTACAACAAAAGTGTTTATGAATTCAACAACAAATAATCCTAAAGGATACCAATTGAGAAACTGACGCTTCAAACTAGAATGCTCCCTCGAGGATAATCCAGTCGTTCGAGTTAAGAATTGCCCATGTCGAAGGGATCAACGGGAAAACTACTTATAATTACATTTCGCACGACATCGGAAGCTACTCACTCGACACGTTCAGTGCAGGAGAATGCGCAGCGAGGACTATCGGTCTTCCCTCGTTCGCAGAGTGTACAAATGTAACTGGTCTGACGTCACTCGCCGACGACTGCTGCACGGCTAGGGCCAACGGCCTGTCGTTGTTGGACAGATTAGAATGCACGAACGTCACCCTGTTGTCGTTGGCCGTGGACGAGTGAACGACCAGCGCCACGGGCCTTGGCTCACTTCCAGTGTTCGATTGCACAGCGATCAGCGGCCTCGATTGATCCGATGAGTTTTGCACGGCTAACGTTAACGGTCTGGACTCGGTGTTGCCGGCGGTGTGGGTGACCAGTAGCTGCCTCGTGTCGCCAGGTATCACCCTCAAGCTTGACCCGATGTGCTGAAGGGTCGGGACGATCGTCGCCAGACCTTGATTCGTGTTCAACATCTGGGCGCTTATGGGCAGGTGCAGTTGATGCTGTTGCGGCACCATACCGCTCGGCGATGTGTTAACTTTCTCCTGAAACAGAGTTATCGTTTGTCAGTTAGCGAAGAAACAAGAGCATGTTTAGAGTACCCCCTCTGGATAGTAAGGCAATCAGCAGTCAATAAAAATCACGCATCAGTAAATAATACAATCTGCACCTTAGTTTTAGATAAGAACTATATTTGAGATACTAAACATGAATAATACTGACCTACAACAATCTAGAGCGAAATCAGATAGGAGTAACGTTTGAATCAGCGTTTTAAAATTATTATTTCTATACTAAATTTACCATTCAAGTTATTCTCATAGATTACGAAATGCCTTGCATTAATTGGTAAAGTGACCTTGCTCGACATTGACTAGCGGTAAAAGCTGTCGTGCGTTATCTTCGACGGCAGTGCGAGATTACGCAAAACCAAGTACACGAATCCATTTAAAAATTTAATCTAAAACGCACTCGTCTATGAAGGAATCATTGCCACTCGTTATTCCCCGCGAAACCATTTAATTCTTATCTAAAACATGTTTTGATAGCGTAATACTTTCGACGATACTTGTGAAACCGGATTAAAATGAATAACCCTGTACCATAAAAATAGACTGGTTTATTAAACTAGTACGTTGCAGGAAAATTGGAATCTAAGGGAGTTTAATGGTAAATGCATTAGTAAAGAGGATACAATGCACTCGTGTAAAATAAAATATGTCGCTTCTGGATAAAGTCCACAGTCGAATAATTTGCAAACAAAATTGTGTTGTACTTGGAGTGATAGGAATTCAAATACCTTCCCTCCTCTGTTATCTGATACAAAACAAAAAGACTCATTGTCAGATAATGATAAGAATATGTACGCACTCTTATAATCTATTTATACAGACTCGTATAAACAGGAACATTCATCAAATGCGCAGTTTCTCTCGCACCGTTTCACACACAAACGCTAGAATTCACGTTGTGCCCAACGGGCTGATCGGTGCTTTATCGGAGTATAGAACTCTGGAAGTCTAGACATAAGTCTACCTGAAATTCTCGCAACATGATTAAAAAGAAAATCCGAATGCAACATAATAAAGGAGGAAGGTACCTAATAAAAGGGTATACAAGAGATTAGTCTAGTGATTTTATGTTTCCCTTATCAATTTACCTGTGCTGGAGTAGGAATGCTAGGTGTGGGCATTCCGGGACTTGAACTTGCAGGTGGACTTTCCCTAGAACTTTGTGCAAGGTTCAAACCCTGCGTCTGACAGACAACAGCCGCGGTTGCAACTTGATTATGAATGTTGGAAGTCGTGCTGGTGGTTTGAAGTGTTTGTGGTGAACTGGCTGTGGCCGCGCTGCTCAGGCTACTGGTACTACTGTACCTCGTGCCACCACGAGCCAGCCCAGTTACATCGACCTCCATACTTTCTGTAATTAAATAAACGATTCAATTAATATGCCATTCTGGAGCCTTTTCTTTAATAAATATGGTCACCCGTTGTCTGGGGTTATTAACCCTTGTTTATTTACAATGAGATGTCAATGAGGAAAAATAGGCTTTTTAATATACTTATTAATAATATGTATTAGGTTGTCCCAAAAGTTTCTTTCGTAATTTGCACTCAATTATTTTGTGCGGTAGTCTTTATATAAATAGACAATCTAATTTCTTAGATGTTGATGTTGTAACAGTAATGGAGCAAAATGAATCGTACGCAATTCAATAATGTAACATTAGACATAAAATATCGTGTATGTATTACTTATTAATAAAACGAAAGAAACTTTTGGGACAACCTAATATAAGTTACTATTAGTCTACATTAATATTGGACTGTCTGGAAAGTTCATGCCGATTTTTAGTAGGCGGTACAGGTCTGAATATGTCGGAATAGCTGAAAACAAATAACATGTGTACACTCCTTAAAAAGTGCAAAGGTTGTGGAACAAAATGGTACATATATAATTCAATAAATATGCATCAATATTCAAATATGCCTTTGAAATTTTCTTAAAAATAAGCATAAACTTTCCTGACAACCCTTTATTGAGTTGTAAATCATTTCCAATTAGGGTAGTTAAAGTATTAAAAATCTAAAATCTGAGAGCTGGTCTTACTATTGACCTTTCTACCTAATTATAATCGCAATAGCTTACCACTTTTCGTAGCTATTGCATCAGCAGCCGAATTCTGTTCAGGCAAAAGAGTATTAAAATCGATATGATCCCAGGTAGCCGCAAGCTCCTTTTTCAAAGCTAACAATTTTTGCTGGGCAGCGATCTTTTCCCTCGCGAGCCTTTCCATTTCGTGCTCGTAGTCCCGTTCCTTCCTCCTCAATGTCTGCAACAAAATTATCGTAACGATGAAAAAGTATTTACCGATAATTTTCAATGAAACAAACCAAGAACATTCGCGAACTACGAGACGTACCCACGAGCCCAGAAAAATTAATTATCTTCCTTCTCTTAATTTCGAAGCATATAAAATGTAAATTCCTTCTTAAATGTATAATTGAAATGAACGATTCAATTGTTATTTACTTTTGTGAGAAATATATCCAAACAACAAAGATTAATACTAGCTTCTAATAAACAAATCTATTTCTGTCCCCTCGATAATCAAATCACATGAGTTTTATATATTATGGGGGTATCGTGAATTAGGAGGATTAAAAAAAGCGGTTTTTCGTGAATTTGTTTAGGATGGAAACAAAATAATTCATTCTATCGAACTTTTTATCCTATTTTCATACATATTTCTTGTAGTCTGTAGAAATTTTTTCAACAAGAAATATTCAAATTGAGTCGACTGTAACGCACATTTGTAGAGCACCTCACAATTAAAACCTCCTATCGGCGAGAAAGATGCAGGTCGTAATTTTGGTTTGACACAAAAGAACCAAAAGAAATTTTCATTTTCATACATTTTTCTTCTATGTGAACTAAAAAAATTCATACAAAAAAAAATTGTAAACAACTTTTCTATCAAGTTAAAGTGATTTTTTTCATCCAAAGAACTTGTTCTTTTCTTCAAACTTGCAGTAATTTCACATTTCATCATTTTTGCGAGTTTTTCTTAGTTCACATAGAAGACAAATGTATGAAAATGAAAATTTCTTTTGGTTTTTTTTGTGTCAAACCAAAATTACGACCTGCATCTTTCTCGCCGATAGGAGGTTTTAATTGTGAGGTGGTCTACAAATGTGCGTTACAGTCGACTCAATTTGAATATTTCTTGTTGAAAAAATTTCTACAGACTACAAGAAATATGTATGAAAATAGGATAAAAAGTTCGATAGAATGAATTATTTTGTTTCCATCCTAAACAAATTCACGAAAAACCGCTTTTTTCAATCCTCCTAATTCAGGATACCCCCTTAAAAGAACAGACCACCCACCTCGCATCCCCTCTCACCAGTACTGTAAATATTACACTTTCATTTCTTGCATAAATCCATTCTAACGACTATTTTTTTTTATATATTTCATATATAACTTTCTTGTATATCGTTAAGTATTATAAAAAAAATCGTCAAATGCAACGTCTCTATTAATTTCTAATTTATATTTCTTCATAGCATCATGCCCTAAAATATTTACCATAAGTAGGTAAATGTCTTATATAAATTTACGTGCCCTCTACAGTATCCCTTTTATCATTTTTCCGTCATAATCTAAGCAAAGACTATAAACACATTTTATGGAAAGGGATAAGAATTTAGTGGCTATAACTTTATTTATTTATTTGTTTATTTACTGTTGGTCCACGAGGAGTTATTAAATTGTTCATAGAAGTGCTTAACCGCGCACATGAGAAAAGCGAGTGAAAGCCGATGGAAATGTTTTCACTTTACTTTCGAGAATACCTTCCCGCGAATGTCACATAATACTTGTGCAGATTCAGGACACCTCTCCCTCGAAATACGATAAGCCTTGCATTTGACGTCAGCACGAACATGCGTGAAGGAACGTGCACGTGACAACGAGTAACAACAGCCAGAGACACACACGGTTCCAGAGAAACCGCGACAAACGAGAAAAATAAACTATGCAAGGACGAAATTCTTAGTGTACGTGTGGTTCAAATATGATCAAGTGCACTTCATGATTCGTGCTTCCTCGTACCAGTGTCAGGTGCTCGAAAAGTCACGCAAAGTGAAGTCGAATTTACGATAACGAACGACTATTAACTACTTAACCTCTTCAAGGACTAATTCCAAATGGATTTTTAGATTTAATTTTATTAAAAATTATTTCTTAAGATTACGTGCCAAAGACAATAAGTTTGGATAGAGATGGGTGAATTTGATGAGGTTACAAAAATAAGTACAATGATAACAGTTAGGTTATGTTGGTTTTAAAGGGTTTTTTTGTAAAAGAGGCTTTGAGATTTTATTTATTAAGAACAATATATGTTTGCCGGTGTAGGTGTGGTGGGCATTATTATGAAAATTTAAGAATTCATAAGTTTGATACGTTTGCAACAAATGTAGGAAGAAATTGCTATTTGTTAACATAACAAGAAGAAGCAAATGCCCTGATTAATTTTCAGATCGAATTCACGAGTAAGAAAGCTCTGCCATCTGCTGGCTGGTCTGCGAAGTTAAGACGAAATGCCAAAGTCTCGTGCTCTTTATAACCGACACAATTCACATTTTTTAAGTACTCCGAAATTCCCACCATCTTTACGATGTAACCATTTAACTATTGTTCGAATAATTATAAGATCAGCAATTCTCAACATTCTAAGGAAACATGTAGGTAAATATATCCAAAACAAAAATATAATGACTAAAGAAATTATTGATCTATTCTACTCGTTCGATAAAAATTAGAATTACAATTATACAATGTATCGCAACGAATAAATCAATGCTTCACCGTTCGAAGAAACGATACGAACGAATTGCGTTGGTTTCCGCAGTTATCCATTACTCGAATAACAATTCAACCATATCTGGCCCGATACAGCATGGAATAATTCGGATTGACGGAACTAAGTGCATGCTGGAGAGAACGTACACGAGAGTATGTAAAAACAAGTTATACGTATGATGACAGAAAAGCTAAATATCTTTCGTTAGATACGTGATAAACCTCCCGGTATGACATCAGCAAAAAAAATGCTTCGTGAAGAAACGCAAGCGACAATGACTGCCAGCGCTAACGGACCGCACTGATATAGTGCACGTGGTATGGTCGTCGAGTGGGGAGGGGAAGAGCCAGATGAAGAAAGAGACGAGTAATGTAACGAAATGGGATGACTGAGATAGCCACTTACAACACAAAGATAAACAGAGCTGCGGATGGAGACAGTGTTTCAAGCCTCAGGAGAAACACAGAACACTGAGTGTCCCCGCGCTTGTACGCGAACAAGCGACTCGACGTGCATCGAAGGACATTGGACGCGGCCGCTTAGCTCGTAGCCTTCGCTACCACGGCCGCTCCAACGGTATTCGCGCGCTCTGATTGGTCAGTGTTTTCCGTTAATATTTCCTCAACGAAGCCTCGGACAACATTTTCGCTAAGGAAAAAGTTGTTTCAAATCACCTCCCAAACCACCCCTTTCAAGGTATTAAAACATTTTTGGGACACCCTGTATAAGAAAATTAGTGGGAGCAAGATGGAAAATGCCAGGATAAGGCCAGATAGAATAACACAACACAAGAGATAAGGAAGGGGAGAGCAATGGGAGGGGAGTATATCCATCACAAGAAGAACGAAGATACAGCATACCAGGCATAGAAATAGACAGATACAGGGGTCTACGAAGATTAAACAGAGACAGAAGGTATAAAGAGGGGCGAGGTGGAAGGAGAACGAAGATCGTTGCATGAATAAGCGCACGCGCGGATTACAAGCACGTGGTTAAACCACCTCCAACAGAATTCGCATACAATGTCGTGTTGAATATACGCAAATAGCGTGTACACTCATTTCTCTCGACCTCTTCGGCTGCTATCTTTTTTTTCGTACAATACTGGCGTATTATTATTAAAAAAAATTGTGTTGGCGAGGTTGCCGACAGCGAAGCTGGTTTGAGTGGAAAAAAACAACTCAATATTTAAAGCTTGGTCTCGAAGCCCTCAAATATTTTCGTTCAGTTTTTAAGTTAGATAGATTCATTTACGCAATAAAAGGGCAACAAGTAAGTTCTCCTTTAAGAATTTTAATATATAATATCACGTGACTAAAAATACTTATAGGGTAACCTCGAAACCTACATTTTCGTGTGACGAATTCTATTTGTATTTCATTTATTCAACATGCGAGGTAAGCGAGCATTAAAAAGGGTGCGTGTTTAAAGACGAAGATAGGCTATTTCTTCTTATACTGCGGATTTTATGTATTCATAATGTAAAATTAATATAACAAATACGTGCTGAACATAAGGAAAAGGTACGTGGACAGTGGGTGTAGAAAGTATTCGTACACCGATCAATTTCCAAAAAAACTACGTAAAATTGTAATTTATTAACTTATTTTTTATAAACAATGACATTCTACATATTCTCGGAAATCTCTAGAATAGATGGAGTAGAAAGAAAAATAGCTATTTATGTAAGTTGCGAAATTAACAAGAAAAAAACAATTGATCGATAGAAATATCGAAGCAATAAATATTCGCACAACTGTTTAATTTTTAAAACTTCGTTAAAAAAAAGAAATTTACATTACTTTATATTACTAATTCGTACGGAGCAATAAACTAATGTGTTTACGTTACAAACTCTACTGTAAATGGTTCGTCGTAAGAATCGTACAAATACTTATTGCTTCTATACTTTTACCCACTTTTCACATTTTTTTGTTAATTTCGCAAATTACATTGACCAGTAAATGTTGTTTGGACTATATCTATCTTACAGACTTCCAAGAATATGTAAAATATCATTGATTATAAAAAAAAGAAGTTAAGAAACTACAATTTCACACAAAAGTGTTTTGGGAAATTGATCGTTGTACGAATACATTCTACACCCACTGTGTACGCAGCTATCGCGTACATTTATTATTATTATTTTGTTTCGTGTGTCGTGTGTTGAGTGTAGCGAAGATCGTTTAATTTTCCTCGACTCCCACGCGCGACGACACTAACGAATTTTTCAAGACCAAACGGAAGCAATAATTTAACCGCAGTCGAAGCGTCATCGTACGCTCGTTAGATTATCGTTTTCCTTTCATTCGTATCTTCTACATGTTTCGTTTCTGTAGTATCTGCCTTTTCGAACACCCTTTTCTATACGCTACTCGGCGTTATTTATTAACGGTGCTCTGCTTAACGGAACATTCTGTTATCACGGCACTTAAGCTTCAATAATTACATTGCACTTCAGTCTCTGCCCGTGCATATATAGGACTACGTTTATCTACGCTTATCGGCCAAGTCTTTTTTTTTTTTGTGGGGCTGACTCGAGGCAAGCAAAGTTTAGCAACAAAACGTTTTCACGGATGGCATAGATCTGTGGTTGCCATTCGCGAGCTCAGGGAAAATTTGTTATTAAAGTTACTCGTTGTATATCATTATTCGAAAGAAAATTTGTCCATCTCTGGTAGAAAAGTAATAACGCCTCGCACGCACCTGCGAGGACTGTACTAATCTCCAAAATAATACAGCAGCTTACTCAACGATCTTGAAAGTCTGGCAGCTATTCGCAAAGTTATTATTGTGTCGGTAATCGTGCGGTATATTTGCGTGTCGTCGAGTTTCACGCAGAATTGCAGATTACCCTCGACTCGAAGATAATTGTGATACGTGATTATTCCTGAAATTCGACATTATTTGTGATAATCTAGTCAGGGCTGTCACTAGTATCACCAGAACCTCGGCAAAATAGCTAACTCGTGTTCCAATTTTAACGGTACACGCAATACAAATCAATTTTTATCTGTAAATCGATTTTAACGTATAAATATGCTGTCTTATTTGAATATAGTATATTGTTTTAATTCTAAAAGGTACTGAGATTGTAAGTGACGATAAATTTTTATGTAAAAACAAACGTACACGTGTGTATGAATATTCGTCAAGAGGTTCAACTCCTAGTTAAAATAATTAACTTTCACCACCTGTGCCCAGTAATTATATACGATATTATTTTCTCCCCTAAGTTTCTAAGCTCATGACCTAAATATTATATTTCTTAATTAAAAAGTCCAGCAAAATTTTCTATCGTTTCTCTGATCCTCCCCTGCTCCAATAATTTTGCGCTCCACTGTACCTGGCTTATCAAGTCGTATCGCGAATCGAAAAAAAATGCGAGCGGTGATCTTTCGGTAATTCGTGCCAGGACTCGCGAGCAACGCTTGCAATCGCGTTTGACCGCGACGTTACGGTGGCTCGTCTCGCAATTTCGACATGTCGAAGCGAAGCGTTGCTTCGTACCTCAGCTTAGAAGTCGCCAACAATGGCGCCGGAACGATAAAAGTTCGAATAGCAGCGTGTGCTGTACCTACGTGCCATGCGGCGTGACACCGATGGCCGAACAGTCACGTGGAACCAATATAGGTACAGATTCTACACGGAGAAGCGTCGTGCACGCATTCGCACGTACCGCGGACAAAGACGGACTGTGACCCAGCACGAGACGAACAAGGACAGGGAGAATGTCTTACGTAGTGGGGGAAGGAGAGGGATGACCCAGAGCGAGACAGAAGAGAACAGAGAGAGACGGAGAGGTTACATGCACGACGCTGGTAAGACAGAGAGGGAAGACGAGGAAGAAGGGAAAGTAAGCGAGTTGGAGGGGAGAAGGACCTGCCAGAGATGGGAACGTATCTAGACAGAAAATATGAAGATGGGCAAAATTTGTACCTGTTATGTTCGCCAAAAAGCTTGTTCAGATTTTAACGCACAAATAGACAGCGATTTTTCTTAAACAAAGAATTATATTTACTTTATAACACATTGCGTCAACCTAATATTATTAAGTGTAGAAATTAACTATGTGCCTCTATGTCAATAATATATATAACTGTATACTATACTGTATATATAGTGTATGTTTATATATATATATATATATACATGTAGTACTGTAGTATATATATAATATACATGTACTATAATATATATATATTATAACTGTAGACCAATTGTCTGAGTTTTGATAAACCAAGTATCAACCTGATGGCTACTACAATTTATCTACATATAGGAAGTTCAGTAACCATGCAATTTTGTGCGGGTACATTGTAGTAGAGATCAGGTTGAGGATTTAAATCCGAAGACGGGGGATGAGGGCGACAACTTGTGGTAGGATTAAAGTTGAATCACGAAAGAGGGGAAAGGAGGGGCCATGGTCGACCTTCGCGGGGACGCGTGTTGGCGGCAGCCCCTGGTCGTCGCACGTGAAGTTAAACGTCCGTTTCGTAACTCGTCCAAAATTGAACCGAGACACATGGGCGGCGATTGGACCTCCCGTTTCTGGATCGTAAGAAGGGGGCACACGAGACTTTAAAACAGGGTTTCTCAATCACCCATTCGCGGACCATCTCGACAAATGGAAAACATTTGCTGGACACTCCAGAGTGAAATTAAATATTTAATTTTAAAGGATATTAGTTGTACAAGTTAAGTTTGTGGCTTTGTATAAAATGTATGAAATGTCAATAATAAAACACATGTTGCACTGTTTAGAAATTAAAAACATGTTTTAACCTATCAGTTATTCGTAACTGATGAACGTAAAAGCACGGAATTTATTTTTACCACCTAACAATTAAAGTCTCGTATTAGAAACGTCCTACGCGTTCATGCTCGTCGTTGATACGATAAACCGATTTGTTTCCGCGCCGATGCTGTGCCATTATCTTCGTTAGACTAATTGTTATTTACCATCACGGTTTGTTACATCACGCGGCGATATGTAATTCGCGAGACGCGGTATATTAGCCAAAGCGATTAACAGAATGGAGATTGATTGGGACAGCATCCACTCGTCGTGCAAAGGGTTATTGCAACGTACGAACATCGTCGCGTTCGATTTATTAATTTCGAATACGTTTCAAATATCGCGTGTCTCCGATATTCCCTGGAAATTTTAGACGCCGAATCGTCCGAGTGCATCGACCTTGAGTCTAATGTGCAATTCGCGAGAGCCTAAATTTAAGTGTCATATGATACCTTCGCGTCGAATTACCGTATGCTCGATTACGCTTTACGCTGGTTTAAACAATTAACTCGGAACGATGGAAATCATTGTGGCATAATAGAGGGCACGATTAGGGGTTTTTTTCTTGTTTTTTTTTTGTTTGATACAAAATTATTTCTCGAGCTAAATTAACCTTTAAGGAGAGATGCGTGTAAGATATGAGTATAGATTTCTATGCAAACTCGTTAAATAAAAATTGCCGAATTCCAGTTTAAAAGCGAATAAAGATAATTTTGAATGGTAACTGTGCTCACTATTAAGAGTATGTAATTTGTTGCTATTGTGACACGAAATAACATTGTTTTAAGTGTATTTTTCTTTTGCAATACGAATTTTTACCGATAGCAATACTTTCCTATAAGTCAATAACAACCGACAAAGTAACAGAAGAGTATGCGTGTGGCGTGAAAACGAAATCGTGCTCGAAGGTCATTGATAAGATATAAACGACTGTTAACGACATAATTATTGCAACTTCAGACGTAAGTATCGATCGCAAAAAGAAAAATTCACGTGAGCGTTCAAGGATGACGCTTAAAAAATCCTATCGAATAGAGTGTAATCACTGTTGACTTTAAAAAGTGTTGAAATCAGTGATAAGTCCTCCAAAGCAACAAGGTATGACTCATTGCGTATACATTCGTGGAATTTCTACGGAACATTTTTAATTATTATCAAAATAAATAATAAGAAAATTTAATCTGGCTCGTGAATGACGAATTCTTATTCTACTAAAACTCGTTTGTTATTCGCCAATCGATTGGTAACGTTATTCATATAGTGTTTCGTATCGATTTATCCTGCTTTTAGTATTCAATTTATTCGTTCTTTTCGAGGAACTTCATTCCATTCGAATATTATTCAAAACAAAATTTTAAGCAGAACGTTCATATATTTTAATAAACATTTAAAGGAGAAAGTTTAACCTTATGTGTCTCATTTCAGCGTTATGTACTCGCGATATAAATTATGTTTCACTTGGAAAGGGAAATAATTTTCGACTTTTGATCATTTCGAGCAACTACGATGCAGTTGTATAGCTTTAAAGCAGCGTGAACGATAACGATGATTTGCATACCTGTATGTGCCTGATCGCTGCGTGGAGAATGGAAAGGTTCGAAGACTTTTTCTCATCCTGCGACGGTAGCTGCCTCTTCAGTAGTTCGAAGCATTCCTTCAAGTGTGCTCTTCGATTCTTCTCCAATTTATTGTGCACTTCTCTAGTGCCGGATCGGATTACGCACGGTCTGGAATAGGGAAAGGAAAACATTTATACACTCGACGCTTCCTACTTGCTTCCACTTTAAATCTAGTCTCCCACTTTTCTAATTTTATCGACCGCAAAAACGATTTTTGACCTCAAAATGCGATTGCAAGATTCTACTGCAATTAATAATTGCCCTTTGAGGTAGAAGAACGTGTGCAAAAATTATAATACGTAATTGTTTAGTTATTTATTGAGTTAGTCTTAAAGTTGCAATTAAAATTGTATTATAGACAAAACAAAAAGATGCATTTATAATTTGTCCCCCAAGAGGTTAACTCGTTAACACGTTCACTGTCAAGTTAAAACTCGTGAAAATTTCTACAAAGTTTATATTTTGTCTCGAGACTGTTCAATATTTGTCACGGTATTCAATTTGTTAACGTTGCCGATATTCGCGAATCGTATCCAGATTTATTTTCATTATTCATTATTTTCATTATCTCTCCGTCAGAATTAATTTCGTTAGTTACTTAATAAAAAAAAAAAAAAGTCTTGTCACCCATTTCTAGATAACGTAGCGACCAATGTGTTGAATTTCATTTGCCACCCCCGTTGCCAAATTTTCGAGCGCGCCACCACTGGCAGACAAGGTATAGTTAGCCCTACGCGATGATCATACAACCGCGTCACAACGCGTCTCGGTCTCACGGTAACGCGACGCGGTAAGCGACGCACCGTGCACGTGCCATTCACCCTGGACACGTGCACCGCGTGAATGGGTAGCGGCAGAGTCTGCCTCGACACTGCTCTGCCCGTGCATCGGAGAAAAGAGAGAACAGAGAAGACGGAGAGGGAGAGCGCACGAAGCAACAGGCTGACATATCGACAGCAGGAGGAAAGACGCAGACACGAAGGGAGAGAGAAGGAGAAATGAAGGAACTGACAAGGGAACATATCAAACTGTACGTCTCCGATTTTGATGAAACTTTGTGGGTACATTAAGCAGGTGAAAATAAGGGATACGTATTTTTTTATAGCTGCCCAATAGCAAGTTTAGGGGTTGAAATCACCCCTTGAAGTTTCAGCAGAGAAATGCTATCTCGAAAACTACAATAGATACAAGAAATGTTATTCGGGAAAAGTTTCATGGTTTCATGAGGTAAAACGAAAAGTGGTCACAGATTTTGTAAAATGTAATTTGTTTATAACGAAGAAATTTTTTGTTACATTATTTTAAGAGATACAAAAATTTATATAACGACAAGAATGAACGGAAATTGCTTTCCGAATCCATTGATATACAGTACGATACATTTGCCTCCTACAGTTTTGTCAATTTTCGTATAATATTGTACGCAGCCCGTGCGAATCCACCGAGCAGCATGTGAAATGCATATGTTCATGTATAGACATACGGGTGGCTATTAGTATGAGATACATATTTATTAAAAATTACACGATCATTTAAA